AGAGTCAGTATAAATGTGTGTGCATGTTATGTGTGTGTTGGAGTGTCAGTGCAAAATTCAAAAATAAATGCAAGGGTCAACTCAGATATTCTGGGTTGGGGTTAGAATTGATGTTATTGTAACGTGAGAACGGGTTGATAAGATAGACACATTATGCATATAGCCAATTGGAGTAGCCTATTCGAGGTTTACTTTGAACATGTAGAAATTGTTGAAGATGTGTAGGAGATCACCAACGTGTTTTCTTTGAAAACAGTAGACTTTACGCCTAATGCAAGGTCAATTTAAGTAGACTATGCCTGCGCCATTTTGTTTCCCATTCATTGACTCTAAGCTGAACAAATAAACGGTACACAAAACATGGTACACACCACAAATAAATGGTACACACCACTTTCTAAATGGTAAAATCGCACTTTGGTCAACAACAAAAGTTAATGATTAGTCAACAGCTAACTTGCTATTATTGTGTAAACTATGAATAATCCTTGGACTTTAGTAGTAAATCTAAATGTAATTGAACAACAAAGACAGAAACAATGTAAAATGTAGGGACATTTTAAAGACATATCCCCGGACAGCAAATATTTAATTGTTTCATCATGTAAAAAGATAGGACAACACCAATACTGCAAAAGTACCTAATATTGACTTGGATAGGTCTAAAGTTAGTGTTTGGCCTTTCTCTTTAATAATACTTACTGTGTCAGTCCTATCACCTTTATTACCATCAGTGGGACTATATAAATGCCTATTTATATCCCTTTGTTGAGAACAGATCTAGTGAAGTGAACATTTTACTGTGCGTAAAGTGCATTGTTTAATGTAGCAAATGGAGAACACTATAATCCATGGGTTCTTGATCATTACAATTCTCTGATGTAATACCAAGTGTGCTACTAATCTCAGTGTAAACTTACTGGTGTCTAGGGCTCTACTGAAAACTACACAAACAAATCAGCTATTCCGAAGTCTAGGCCGCAGTCCACGAAGGTTAAGTTCATTTTTAGACCTCATCTCACACATGCAGACGTCGATCGGTCTTGTAACCTAAAGCCACCTTCTCTTTTCCTCAACCCACAGTGTTGCTGCCAGGAGCTGAAAAGGGATTTGTAATCAGGGAAACTTCATCCGGGGCATACCGTGCCCTTAAATGGCGTCTGCAGTCCTTACTTTATGGGCCTACCCCGCGAGCGGTGACCCTCTCCCTCCCCCGAACTTGAAGTCGACCGCACAGACAAAGCTATGTTGTGGGGGGCTTTTACGTAGAAATAACATCTCGTTTTTTGGCCACCAAAGAAAACCCACAAGAACTAAAGAGGGATGTCGTAGGTTCGACTGGAATCAAGTGTGTTGTCTTCCTCGAACATAAAAACTGTTTACATGAAATGTTGAAACTTGAACGTCTATCTATTGCTTATTTCTAACTTTAGCTAATTATTTAAAAATTCGGGGTCAGTATAGACAAATTGTTTACACAGACAACAACGTGTTTGCAGCGCATTCATTTTTGATAAGAGTAAGTCTTACCTGTCCTTGTTTAGGTTTAGAATGTCTAGTTTTTTATATGTCGCTGGACGGCTTCGGCTCCTGACTCCTGAGTCCATGTAGGTGGCAACTTCCTATCACGCCTGGTTGGTTTGATGGTGTCTGGCCGAGAAGGAAAAAAAGACGCAGTAGACTACTATAGGAGCTATAAAAACTCAGGTCTGTGCAGAGCAGCCCCTGGTTTTCCTGGGCACCCTGTGCTCAATTACGGCTTAGCACAAGTCGTAGAATGTGTCTGGGTTGACGAAGAGGCGGAGCGTGTGGTCGTGAAGGCACTGTGTTTGTTTGTGTCCCCACAATTATTTAACGTGACAATGCATGGACGAATGCCCAGGGATATTCTGATGCTTCGCTTTTTTTCTATTTTGGAAGAGGGGTTTAGCTCATACTTACCGTTTCTTAGTACATGTTATGCTTTCGAGGTCGTATTACATTAGGCCTACATGTGTCATGTTAGCGCGTCCTGAAGCTCCGTGTGTGTGGAGGGTAGGCAGGGTAGATTTGGGTAAAGCGCGGCGGGGCCAGGAGGGAGTCCCCGCGGTCCTAATCCGTCCTCAGGTCGCTCATTCACAGAACATTAGCGTCAGGTTCCACCGTCTCACAAGACACACCGCTGTGGTCCTTTACACGGATGTTGTGTTTTAGAAATAAAGGCATAACACGCAAGGAGACTGATATCATAGTTCTCCTATAGTCAAGAGGATAATACTATACTCTTAGGATTGTAATGAAAAGGTATCATCAAATAACAAACTCCAAAAGGATACATCTAAATATATGTTGTTGTTTTTTTCAATACAACAAGTTAATTGTATAAAACACATTATTGGGTTGTTCATAATTCATAGGCGTATGTGTTTTCATTCTATTTAATGGATGCGAAATGGGTAGGCCTACAACACTCGTGAGGAACATGCAGTTTATTGTATTTTGTGTAATTATGAGATACAGCAGTGGCCTTTTTTTAATGTTTAAGCATTAACCTTTTTTGACTAGTGTTCCACCTTTGGTTATATTGTCTATACATCACGTGTTAATAATTAAATAAGTATTTACCCAACATAGTCTTTAGAATTAATAATGGTTTCGAAAATAAATATTGCCCATAGGCCTACGGATTCCATTAAAGTTGTTTAAACGTTTCTTGGGAAATTGGGTTTAAACGAGGACAATATCTGGAGAAATCATTAAAAACAAAAAGTTGATTCAACATCAATGTATTCCACAATGCTGATAGTTGTAGTGTGTTGACGTTCTAACCACCAATTCGAATATTGTCTGGACTATTGTCTGGACCGCTGAAGGGGTGCTCAGTCGGTAAAACTTAATTGTATTGTATTTCACAATGTCTTGTAGAACATAGAAATACAGTTTTATTAACACATTGCATAGCAATATCTGTGCGTAAAACGGGAAGTTACGCATTGTGCGATCTGTGCGTATTAATATTCTTAGCCTAGGCTTACTTATAGGCGGTGAGAGCTATATTCATATAGACCTATTCGTTATAAATGATGGATTTCATGCTGAAAACAAACTAATTGTGTAGTAGAAGCCTAATTGTGTAACCTAACTAGTAACGAACTATAATTTGTATAATATATATATGATTCAACAAACGTCAATTTCCAATTAGGCCTATTGTTGGTCTAGCTCTGAGTTTTTCAAATATAGAGACATATACCCACAATCAACTCATGCACATTTCTCTCTATTTACATACTTCCTGCGCTACAATATGAAGTAGGCCTATTGATCCCGTGGCTCCTTGGTTATCGCTGTCATAAACAACATTGTGCAATATTGGCAACTTTTAAAAAACTGCTTACAAAACCTCCGTCCTTTTTTAGGTGGCAAAAGTTAGATGATCTACGGGTTTGGAGTATTCTAACAGCCAAGCGTCGATATGAGCTATGTCTGTTGGTGTTGTATACGTGGTGCATGGCCTAAAATGTCTGTTTGGTAGCCGCTTCGTCGGCACCTGACTGGAGAAAGGGCCAAACGTCAAGGGTTACTTGAACATGACCCTGTTGCAGTGAAGACAAACGGTCATAATATAATGTTGTAAAGTATGAGCACACACCTCTGTGACAAACATCAAACATAACATGAGAATAATATGTTATTCGTTGTCTTGGAACTAGTAAAAATCATATTCAGTAGTATAGGATAAATAAGATAGATAATGACTTTATTATCCCTATGGGGAAATGTTGGTTGCCGCTCTGTGCATACATAAAAACACAATCAAAGACAGACAAGGAAATATACAGACAATAAATACAGAAAGTGCAATTCATGAGCGATCAGAGATTATCTGTACACTATATAGGCTACACTACCCACTGGGCACAGATGTCAGTTCAACATGTGATTTACATTTGGTTGAGTTGTCAACGTGAATTCAACAAAAACAATTCACCATGTCATTGGATTTCGGTTAAAAGTTGGGTGAAAAAAATACGAAATTCCCTTACCTTGATGACTTTCGACAAATCCAACTCGTTTTCCACGTTATCACATATATATTTTTGGGTTGAAATGATGTGGAAAAAAAGTTGATTCAACCAGTTTTTGCCAAGGGGGTATACACAACAGAACACTCTGTCAACTACAATGTTAGCTGTAGGCCAGCCCGCTGGTCCTACTGGTGGTTTTAAACATTAAGGAGCCTTACTGCCGCTGGGACAAAGGATTGTTTGGAACTATTTCTTTATGCCCTGGTGCCCTGGATCGTCTCCCCGAGGGGAGTAGCTCAAACTCCTGGTAAAGAGGATGTCCGTGGTCCATCAGTACATTTCGGGCTTTTGTGAGGGCTCTTATATCATAAATGACCTCCAGACCTATTGATTGAAATGCTAGTCCTTTGGTCAAGTCCAGAGGATACAGATATTACACGTGTTGGCACGCCTCAAATGCATAATGTTTCCAAAGACGACATCAAACCCTCAGGAATACCATAAAGCTTACAAGACGCATGGATTCAATGATTACCCCCAGATTAAATGTTGAAATGCGCATAGCATTTTTAAAATTGATATTGAATCAGGTTAATCCTTTGATAGCAATATGTCACTTCTCTACATTTTAACAACCAATGCAATTATTTTTTTCTCTGACTTGCTGCATGTAAGGGAATTCATTTTAGACCAACATGGCGATAAACCACCAATGTCAAGCTTCAGGACAACTAGCTGTCTGTCCCTCACTCACACTCATTCACTGAATAACTGCTCATGCTCGCGCACGCGTGTGCACACACACTCGCACATACACTCACTCATCGAACATACACACACACTCTCTCTCTCTCTCTCTCTCTCACGGGAAAGCTGTCAATTTCTGCCGCTGGTCACGTGACCCACGCCTCCCTGGAATGGATGGAGATTGCTCTCCACGTCAGCCTACGTCTCAAAATTTCTGCCTCGCGGACCTGCTTCAAAGAGGCACGAGCCAGGGCGCTCCAGAGCCATGTAAAGGGCGGCTATAGATGCATGACCCAGATAGAGTAGTAGAGTGCAGGAGTGATGGATTTTGACGAGCGGGTCCCCGTCGGTTCGAACATGTATTTGCCCAGTTGCACCTACTACGTCTCGGCGGGGGCAGACTTCTCCGGTCTACCCTCGTTTTTGTCTCAGACCCCGTCTACTCGGCCCATGACATACTCGTACTCCTCTAACCTGCCTCAAGTCCAGCCCGTGAGAGAGGTGACGTTCAGGGACTATGCTGCCATTGACGCGTCCGGTAAATGGTCACACCGGGGGAACCTGCCCCAGTGCTATCCCACCACGGAGGACATGGTGCACCGGGATTGTCTGTCCTCGCAGCCCACCATGGGGGAAATGTTTGCCAAGAACAATCCTACCGCCGCTGCTGCCTATCACCACCACTCCGGCGCGGGCTGTGCGGTGTCCAATTTCTACGGGAACGTTGGCAGGAATGGGGTGCTGCCCCAAGCCTTCGACCAGTTTTTCGACACAGCGTACGCCAACGCCTCGGAAACTCCGTCGTCTAACGACTACTCAGGGGACAAAACCGCCACCAAGCAGACAAGCTCCGCCGCAGAACACGCGCCACCGTGCCGGGACACGGAGGGGAAGGAGCCGCGTGAGGATACCAGCAGCCCGGAGTCCTCTTCCGGCAACAATGAGGAGAAATCGAACAGCAGCAGTACGTATTAAATCAGCACCCTGGTTATGAGAGAAAGTTTGCAATCTAGCGCGCTGCTGTAAAATTTTTTATATGCTGTTTTATAAGCGTATAAGGTTTATAGAGGGCCTGTAGATTTCCCCCAACAAAACTTTGTTATAAACTGCAGGATCACGTGCTTTGAATTGAAATTGGCCGTGAAAGACATCAGGGCTAGTGATTTTTCTAAACATTCCCTAAAGTAGAAAAAAAAACACGTAGTATGACTGTGAATTGTAAAGTAGGCCTAACACTCCTGGTCGTACATTCATCTTTTGATTAATAAATGTAGCCTATTTTCACGGTTTTCTTAGCGTTAAAATAGCACTTACGTGTAATGAGGGTGGTGCCTCTGGTTTAGGGGTTAGCACATTCGAGCTCGTGCGCTAAAGCAATCAGGCAGTCTGTGTTTTACACTAGTATGATGTTTGTTCCTAATGTGAGAAATCATGACGCTGATCAAATATAATCTATTGATGTGTTATTACTGTTTATATTATTTTATGATTAATTGCATTTTGTCTTTATATACTATAGTCTTACATGCATGCTGCAAACTGTCAATGATCATGTATTAGTGTTCATTCGTATACAGAACACTGCATATGCTATTTAATGGTTTCATATTGTAATTTAGATTACTGCATAATTAAGATGTAGAAATTAATGAAGTCAATGACAATATTTTATTTGGATTGATTTGGTCAATGCGTAGTTATAGTCTACCTAAAAGCCTATATAACCTTGCCTATAAATCCTATAACATAGTCATGGATGATTTGAGATATTTTTATTTTTATGTGACCGACATTCTCTTCTCTTCTAGATGGACAGAGGACTCGTAAAAAAAGATGTCCTTATACAAAATATCAGATCCGAGAACTGGAGAGGGAGTTCTTTTTCAGTGTGTATATCAACAAAGAGAAGAGACTGCAGCTCTCTCGTATGCTGAACCTCACCGACCGCCAAGTGAAAATCTGGTTTCAGAACCGAAGAATGAAGGAAAAGAAATTAAACAGAGACAGATTACAGTATTACACCACGAACCCGCTGCTTTAGGAGTGACTTGTCATATGCGTTTACAGACTTATTGACTCGCTTTGGTCGCGTTCCCCTGACATATGTGTCAGCAACAACAACACAACAACAGCAATGGCTGCAGCTGCAACACGATGCTCAACTGTTAATTTCAAGTTCGATGTGCAATGGCAGCAGAATCTCTCCTGATTTCAAACAGTTTGAGAATGAGCATGATTTAACTGACACACTGACGGAATTTTGGCCATCAGACTTTGTTTAAAAAAAAAAAAATCTGCGGATGTTGTCCTCACCAAGACTATGTTCTCTTTCTTGTGTATCCTAATATTATTGTGACACAGAGTCGCCTTAATTTTCTTCTCACAACGCGGACAGCCTTATCAGTCTACCAATGACTGACCAGGATGATTTTTAAAAAAATCTAAAAGCCTCTTGTAAATTAAGTTTTCGGTTTTTAAGATCGTACGAGTGGTGACGTGGTAGGCCAATATGTTTCCTGTGGCAGTGAATATGTGATGTTGTGCATTTAATAATGGAGGCTAGGACTTTGGTATGACCAAATAATGAGACTTGGGAGGGCGAGATTGTAAAGTGTCTTTGTTTGTAAGGTTATTTATTTTGTAGCCACTGATTTCCTAAAGAATACCAACTGTAAAGCTCTATCGGTAAAATTATAGGGATTCGGTGTTAAATTGTGTTGACCCCAAACCGTGACTAGGTCATTCTACCATTGTAATAGTTTCAAAACAACATATGTAATCTAGCTGTTTATATTTTCTGTACTTGATTACCACACCTAATTTGGCTTTGAATTTGATGTTAATGCACGAAAACCCACAATGAGAAGAATGTTACCCCCATACAGACAGAACCAGATATAAGCTTGTTTAACCTCATTGCTGTAGCCTATAGTCGAATTGTTGCATCGCGACATTCCTGTAGATAATACAGGTAATGTACGCAACAAGGCCACAGTCTTTTGATACCCAGATTAAGCAAATATGCATCCAGGTTTTGTTCAAATAGGACGAAATATTTTTTCCATTATTCACAGGTCTTCTTGTTTTTCATTGAAGTAACATGAATGCTAAATGCGTTTTGAAATGTACTGTCAGGGACATAATCTTGGATCAACTGCTTGTTATGCCCAACATATTCTGTATTATCCTATATTTCCAAATAAAAAATGAAAAGATTATTGAAGGAATGTGCAAATGTGACTGGTTATTGTACTCAGACTCGAAACCATTTTGAAAGCTGTTATTTCCGCACACTTTACCTTCCCACAGGCCTATTACGCACAACTAAAATACAATAAAATATGACAATAAATAGTTCAAACTGTTTTGTTAATTCATAATTGGTAGATTAAACATCCAACATTTGGTAATTATGTTTATGAGTAATTTACTCGAATATGAAACCTTATTCATGTGAGCGATATTTGTGTGAGAGATTGATTGTTTAATACCAATATTTCATCAAGCTACCAAGATTACTTACTCATCGTAAACGTTGATATGCACCTACATGTTAGGCTACTAATTAGTTAGACTTATATTTCTTATTTGTGTGAGGTTGCATTTTCTAATGACCTTTGCTCATGGCAATTGTATAGGGTGACATGCATGCATCCCAATAGGCAAAAACTGGTTGAATCAAGGTTGTTTCCATGTAATTTCAACCAATACAATCAATGTGATTACGTTGAATCAACGTGGAAAACGGATTGGATTTGCAAAAAGTCATACATGGGAAATTGTTGGTTGATTTCACGTTGAATTCACGTTCGTTGATAACTCAACCAAATTTAAATCATTACTAGACGTTGAACTGATGTCTGTGCCCAGTGGGTTATCGCTCAATGGAGTTCATTAATTGGCTTTGAACTTTGAATATTTTTGTCTCAATTACCCACAGCACTGATGGTAAACAAGCCTAATACAGTCACCATGTGCATCTAATTTTCATTCACCTACTTCTGACTTCTGATAAAACCACCCCTTCTTCAACAACATCCTCCTAAGTGAGCATCGCCATATTTGCTGTTATTATCACTCTGTTTATGAGTGCGAGCAGCAGCGCAATGGCGTTCATATATGACAGTCAAATGGGCCATTAACGCGGGGAGAGAGAGGCTGAAGTTTATGGTTGCTTCTCTCTGCCATAGTCCGGCCTAGCCTTGCCTGGCTCATCCTTTATGGCGCGCTGGAATTCCGTGCCTAATTACTGGACATCCTCCCCGTTGCCGCAGCAACGCGACCATAAAACCTGTCTGAGAGTCTGGAGCATTTGTACAATTGGAGTGCAGTGCAATAAACCGTCTGAGACCCAAGGTTATTCACTCTCTTACCAAGGAGGCGAGAGCGACGATTGAGGAGAGGACGGATAGGAAAAGCCTCTGCTCACTGGCCGCTTCGACTTCATTTGAGAGTGCATTTCCCCCATCGCGGGTTGTCCTCCTTGGATCAGAGTAGTGGCCATGGGCTGGTGCTCAATCGCAGACGCTTCCTCCTGCCACCGGGCGGCGCTGTTGAGATCAATGTCATTGCCGTGGATCTTTTCGTCTGCAAAAAGAACCAAGCACAAGAAGCCTTCAAGATTCTCGAGGGAAACTTGAAATGCAGGTAAATTCTCGAACTAAGCCCTTACATAGCCTCATACTCTGTGAGATAACTGCCTTTCCCTGTTTACATAAGTCGATTATTTGAAAAAAAAAATAATGCACAGCTGTATTTAAATATTTATTTAATTTAGCTGTTTTGATCATTAGGTTGCACATGTCAGTATGTATTAGAGAATGATTGGCAGTAGAAATGTTGAGGGCCTAGCTAAGATATGAAATGTAGCAACCTAGTAATGCAACACATCTGTGCGATGCTGTGTACTCTGTTAATTTTGTAAGACTTGTATATTTTATATGTAGGCTATTAGCAAGGCCCAAAATATATTGTAAAATCTCTGCCCAAAATATCCAGCACACAGGCCTACTTTAAGATATTGAGGTAATTTACAGGCTGAAAGTATTCTTTCACAATCAGGGACAGATGGGAGTTAATGTCTTATCTAAAGTATTTAATCATTAAATATTCAGTCAGTGGGTGTTTAAAAATATGTATATAATTAATTATTTTGCTGATGATCAGGAGCTAATGTAAGCCCTCCTAAATCACAAAAATCACCTATGAAGTCACTACTCTCACTCAAAGCTGGGCTTTTTGGAATCAATCTGCCTTTGGTGTCCTTCCAGAATGCATTACACTCTGGGCCGTGCCAAAAGTATAAATGATGTGATTGGAAAAGTATTTGATTGTGAAACGCCAGGAACGTGTGTCCGTTTCCTTCCTGTTATAGAAAGCTAAAGAGAGGGGGAGAGATTCGGTATCAGACCAAGAGGCGAGGGGGGTTCTCCATGGCTCTTGCATGCCCGTGGACTCCCGTCTCCTACTCCTTTGTTTCTCGTGAAAAATAAATACTTCCGCCGGATGTAATAAAACTCAGCATTATTGTTCAACATGATCCGTTCAAAACCGTCTCCCCGGCCACCATTATATGAGGTTGATCAAAGACACTGGCCAGAGTAAACTGTTTTGGGGAAAATGATAGCTGGACAGCTGTGAAATGAAGATTTAGTAGCCACAATTAGGCTAATAACTGTAACACGGAGCTGTAACTGATAGGTTACACGTCAATACAGGAGCGTGGGGTGTGTGTGCTGACGTTCCCGAGCTGCATGTGCACAGCATTAATTAATGTCAACATTGAGTGTTGAATTTCCAATGGCTGATATTTCATAAGATCATAGGATATTTTTTTGCTGATGCTGTTTTTGCTGGTGTGTCTGGTAGTTAAGTTCACACATAATGGTATGCAAAATTGACTCATTGTTCAGTTTATAGAACAGGCAAATAAATGTTCGGCGCACGGCATTTGTCCCCGGTATATAGTCAATCCCAGTTATGCATCATATAAACATTTTCGTTCCTTATACTTTAGAATTGAATAAACTATTACCAGTTTCACATCTATGTTTAATTGTGAGACATATTATATAAGATGTAATTTTTCCTGACAGTGGAATTTAAAAAATGTTGACCATCGGTTAGCCTATATCAAGCTAGACCTACAACTATGAACCTATATACATTTTAATTTATAATTCTATCTCCATTTTGCCTTGAGATGGACACCACAGGGTGAAAACAGAGCCGGAGGGCCACAAGCCACCTGGCCTTGGTAATGGCCAAAGCTGACCGAGATTAACTTCAACCTGGGGATAGAGAGAAGGCGCAGCACCATTGACGCAACAAAATGGAGGGAGACCAGTCCCTATAATACCCCCAAAGCACAAACGTGGCCTTATATGTATACCTATAACCCACAGTGATATTTTGCACGTGTGGTGAATTGTGTGAATAATAAATGTATAGATTCATATAGGACATGGCACACCTTTTTATATTTTGATAAACGCATAATAATGAAGATCTGCAATAGTTTTTATTTGACAATGCCTTTAGAAGTATAACACGCTATTACACATGGTATACATGGTAACCACACACAACTTACATCAGCAGGCTTTATGTTATCATGCTTCGATGCTACATTTACAATTATTTAGAATTAATCAGACACCCAAAAATAAATCTAGTGCTGCTATTTGTCAGATATACACAGTCTATTTTTATATCACCATATTTATATCTTATATATATATATATGAAATAGATCTAAATCAACGATTCCTTTGAACATCGAGGCAATTGCCGTGCGTAAAGCTTATTAGGTTCCTGGTCATTAGGCCTACTACCTTCATCAGTCTTTTATTTCTCTAAAATCCATTGACTTGTCAATTAATGACACCCACGCAGTGATCTCTTTTATTAAAGCACTGTAAAGGAAAGTGTAGTTTTCTTGTCTTGTTTACGCCCTGTTTACTCTACCTGTTTGAACCTGAGAACCTTAATGTTGACTTACAGTTGTCACCTACAATTGGTGAGGATTGTTGAAAATGTATACGCATGAAAAGGTATAGGCCTTTATTGGTCCTGTTGTCTTATTTGAATCGAAAATGGTTTCCATTTCGACTTCTTCTGTGAGATTTATGCGTATGGAATGTATTAACTATAGACCCATTGGGAGCAATAGGGAGCCATATAGGGCTTATAACAAACGAATCATTTGATAATAATTATTTTATTTTATGCACAGTTTAAAAGAATAGGGGTTAAGACAAACTTCTCTTAATGCTGCAAACCAAATTGATAGTCGATAGGTATGCTGCACAACTCCCTTATGCGCATGCACGGGCGTGCATAGACTACTTTTTTATTTATTTTCGAATGTTTGCATTCTGCCTCGCCCCTCCGGCATTATGGTGGTGCATTAAAGCGAGGTGAGAGAAACCCACTGATTGCTGTGCTGTCTCCTTTATCTGCCTCAGACCCATGATGGATATGGCCCCGGTTGCCACGTGGCCCTGGAAGGGGATGGGCCCTGCGTATCCGAGTGTTCCTATTGGCTCCAGAGTCTGCACGGTGGAGAGGGGGGTACCTCTAATCATATCCAGCATGTTTTGCACAAGAAATGTCAGCCAGAAAGGGCTATCATCTCCCCTCGCCAAAATACACCACAATAATGGCATGCTCAGACAGCCCCGCAGGAAACGCGTTTTTTGTGGATTCTCTGATCAGCGGCCGGACCGAGGGTGGAGGGGGACACTACTACCCGGGCAGCAGCGTGTGTCTGCCCCATAACGCCGCCTCAGACGTGCCTTACGGGCTACAGAACTGTGGATACTTCCCAGGTATAGGCAAGCGGAGCGACGCAGGTCCCCAAAACATGATGTCTGCCGCTTCAGGCGCGTATATGTCAGGCATGGAGATGTGGATAGACGCGCAGAGGTCGTGCCGAATGGACCAGCAACAAACTGTGGGTCCCCAGGTCGCGCCCTGCTCGTTCCCGCCGAGCATTAAGGAGGAGAGCGCGTACTGTCTCTACGAGCCGCAGAAGTGCCCCAAAGCCTCGACCGCGGAAGACCTGACATACTCCAGGCTAACCACGACAGGCTCAGGTTCAGGCTCGTGCACAGTCACCGACGGCGGTGGTGGTGGGGGTACTGTACCCGTGCCTGGCTACTTCCGCTTGTCTCAGATGCACGCACACACTCATAAAGTTTACCACGGTGCCCAATCGAACCCCTCTCATTCTCACTTTGGCCTACACCCCCCTACACAGACACGCTTCCACACCCCGACCCCCCCGCAGTCCTCAGCCTTAGTCTGCTCAGCCACGGCGGCTTACAAGAGGAGAGACACGGAGGAGGCTCTGTCTTCCGGTACCGCATCCCAGCCCCAGCAGACGCACGCCCCACCGGGGGACGAGGAGGCGCGAGCGTCCTCCGACGCGGAACCTTCATCTCCCGAGGAAGCTGAAAAGGAGCTCGAGAAGGAGAAGCCAGCGAAAACACCTAAAGGTGAGCTGAGGTCATTAAAAGGTGTGGTCACTCATTCTGCCACCTTTGGTTTTATTGCGTGCGGTATAGTAAAGCAGGTATGGCGATGCGTAAAAAGGTTATATGGTAACACCTGCCGAGAGACTGATTTCCTCTTTTGCATTCTGAGGACATTCATGTGTTTGTTTTTATTCAGGGTTTATATATGGTCTATGTGGTCTTGCCGTAACCCAAAGGCTAAATGTTTTGTAATTAGCAGTAGCAGAGGAGACACCATGCTTTAGTTGAGAGAATTTCGCTGCCTAAAAGTCAAGCGGGTGTTAAAGTTTTGGAAAAAAATGTAAAAATGCTGTGGGAAAAAAACAAAAATGTTATTATTAAAAATAAATGCTATTATTTGCTTAGGCTTATGCTACTGCAGGCTTATTTTACATTTTAGGCCTTTGTTTCTTTGGACTAAAAATTACTTGACTGCCGCTCAATATAGGCCTAACAATCGTATGTATACCCATAAACAAATAGGCTACTAAAACAGTTTTTATTTTGGGGCGGTGATATTTGTTCTTATTATAGTAGATCTAGAATGACAGAAAATGTTATACATTTCAGAAAATATTTTTGACTTATTACCTGCAAATGTTTCAAGTTCAAGCAAAGTACACAAGGCCATTGAACCGTCCTTATGAAAAGGTCTATATCAAACCATTGACTTGCACAACACACACATACACACACACACACCTACTCACACACCTACACACACACACACACACACACACACACACACACACACACACACACACACACACACACACACACACAGACACACACACACACACACACACACACAACCTATCTTACATGCATAGTTGTCAGCCTAAAAGAATGTATCCCATTTTCTTTAGGAGACACAGAAAGCGAATGCACGGCCAACTGGCTAACAGCAAAAAGCGGACGGAAGAAACGTTGCCCATACACCAAGCACCAAACACTGGAGCTCGAGAAGGAGTTCCTCTACAACATGTACCTGACTCGCGAGCGTCGCTTAGAGATCAGTAGGAGCGTGCACCTGACGGACAGGCAGGTCAAAATATGGTTCCAGAATCGCAGAATGAAACTGAAGAAAATGACCCGGGAAAACAGGATTCGGGAGCTCACGTCAAATTTTGGTTTCTCGTGACAACGTTGAATGTTTTCAATAAGCTTTGAATTAAACTAGCTTTAGTTATAATGCAAGGGGTAAAGAGCACATCTTTAATAGGCCTACAGACAAACCTAGTCTTTGCATCGTCCTATGTAAGCTACTGGTAAAACGTGAACGCTATTGTTTTTTTTTTCTTTCTTTCTTTTTTGACAATTGTTCGTTGATTCGGCTCTGTTGCTGTCATTTGTTGGGATAGGTGTCTTGAGGAAAATAATGGATGGAATTTGCTTTGGGTCGTATAGGATTGTAGCCTACCAATACTTTTTTATTTATTTTTTTATAGTTGGAGATACAAATACAAATCACATTTGAGATGTACGTTGCATATATTTGGGGAGTTTCCTTTACATGTATACTGCATGAAACAACATGATTCAGACCCGTCTTTTCCTGCATTTTGCAATGCGGATCACACTAAAATTTAAGGCCTATGTATCAACAGTAAGGGAATAAGATGAGTCGCCCTATAAATGTATTCTTCCGATATAATGTATGTAGATATTATGATGAGCTGATTGTAAGTGTACATAGAACAACATATTTTATTCACTTTGAGGATAATATTGTTGTGTAGACTCGAACTAAGGGAAATGTAGGCTAAATGAGCAGTCTACATTGTGAAATTGTTTTTATTGTGTATATCATTGTGTACATATCAGGTTGTGTTTTTGTGTATTGCGTAATAAATTATCAGTTCACATATACTGGATTAGTATGCTTTTTGATGTACGTGTTTATAACTGTATTTATCGCTATTTCTTTGTCTGTAAAAGAGAATAGGCATTTTGGACAGGCCAGTTGAGGTTGTAGGTGCACTTTGAGTTGGTTGTACATTACTTGGCTTTTGTCTTCAGAAATGTTTTTAGGATCCATGGAGTAGCTCTCGGAAACGATTTAGATATGACACCAGCCATTATGTCTAGGCCGTATAGGCATATACCACTGCAAGCCTAACCGGCTTTAGTAGAGTTTTATGACTTGCTCGTATATGACGATTTTCACTCTCCCCAAAGACTAGCTTCAGTCGAGAGAGCCGTTAAGCCGGAGAGGAGGCTGGAGACAGTGGTAGAAAGTTACACTGCATTTAGACAGAATTGTCCGAAGTCATCTTCTTTTCCCTTGTGATTGGAATAGTGCAACAACTTCGATGAATGGGTGAGTCAATTTGTTGTTATGGATTTGGGTTTTCGGGACTCCACATGTTTAAAAAAGCATGTTTCCAGCGGAAAGATTTTATACTGAACATGTAAAAACTTTGTAGGCTATTTTTAATACAGGCCTCTTCTGAACAGCATGGGTGTTTGAAATCGATATGAAAACCAAAGAAGACGTGACGTTATGCATTGGCTGCTGCGCGTCTTGAGGCCTGGAGCGGACTGTGGAGTGGTTTAGGTAGTTTCATGTTGTTGGGATCCATTTTCTACCTCTACAACACGAAACTGTCTTAATTGGCCCAGTTTAATGCATCGAAACGTCAGTCAACTTAATCTGGGAAAGGTGCAATCTGACTAGATTTGATGTAATAGTATTAGGAGTGTTATTTGTGTTGACATAAATATATGGATAAAAAATAGGACATTTCTAATTGCCTTTACCTGTTGGGAAAGACTTGCTGTCGTGTATGTCTCTTAGCATATCGTCAGTAATATTTATACAAACTCTACTTGTTATTTTTCGTCATTAAATTAAGCCCCTGAATGCCTGCGTCCTATATTTATCTTGGTAAAAGCTCAGCTATAGGCGGGTTGGACTTGGAATTAGCGTAAAGCTATAAGCATGTTTTCTGTCAGTCGTGACGCGGCGACGTCAGACAAGGCCTCGGTTACGACCACTGCATTGGAGAGGAAGGGGAAGTTGAGTGGGCAACAGCGACCTCAGCGGCGCGCCGGTAGGCAATAGAGCCGAATGCTTCGGCTGCGCAATACAGCCTGAACACAAAAGAGGCGAAGGGCTTTATGGCGATATTTAGATCAACCAGACAAGCTGTTATCTGCGGGCAAAATAAATGAATAGCCCCAGCGGTAAACTGGGTCCTTGTTAAGAATCACCCTGATTTAGTTTACAGCCTTAAAGTGCCATTGCCTTCCCTTGTGTCTTTTCTTTTGAAGGTGTCTGTCTGTTCTGTGTTTTAGTGCACATAGCCTTTCCCTATCCACCAGCCTCTTTATTTGTTTCTAATGTCTCTAACACATTTTCATCCATGCCTTATCTGATTCTGCACAGTGGTATACGTTCGAAGATGAAATCATATCTGTTCAGTTATTGGTGTGTGGCATAGCCTACTGTTTTTTCATTCAGTAGGAAAATATGCTGGAGTGGATTCTTTAGCAGCAGTGAATCGCCTGTGGCCATGTAGGGTGTTGGCCTAGCTTTCAGTTTTATTGGATGGTAATAAATAGAACACGTATTCTGTGGGCAGCTATCTCCGTTCTCTAAAGCTATGGGGGGGGGGGGGGGGCAAGGTTCGACACAATGTCTGTAAAGTGTTACAACGCGTTATGCAGCCGTTTCCTCTCTTCCTACTAGTCCAGATATTATCATATGTTGTGTCCAGACTTGGGGTGCATGTTCAGTAGCTTCTCCCCTGTTCTTGAATTTCCCCACATGCATTAGTTTGTATTGTATTGCTTGTCCATTGAAAAGATACATCTGAAAATCAAATGCATATATAGTGTAGGCTTGACTATTATTTCCAGCGTTCCTGTCTTGGTTTATGTTTCGAGTTTCAAGTTTTAATGTCACAATTGCACAATTGCAGTGAAATGCCATTCTTGCAAGCTCTAAACCCAACAATGCAGTAATCAATAACAATGTAATAATAAAAATAACATGAGGTAGAACAAAAACACAAGAGAAATAAAAATAAGAAAGGAGAAGTATACGATAAAGTAAGTAAGCGTACTATATACAGGGTCAGTCAGTTCCTATACCATATTTACAATGTGCAGGGATACTGCAGTGGTAGAGGTAGATATGTGGGCAGGCCTATATGGGTAAGGTGACTAGGCATCAGGATGTATGATAAACAGAGTAGCAGCAGCGTATATTATGATTGTATGTCAGTCGGTGTGTGCAGAGTCAGTATAAATGTATGTGCATATAATGTGTGTGTGAGCAAATGATGGAGTGAGTGTTTGTGTGTGTGTTGGAGTGTCAGTATGCGTGAGTATGTAGTACCCTGGTGAGGGTCAACTCAGATAGTCCGTGTAGCCATTTTGTTAGCTATTTAGTTAGCTATTTAGCACTCTTGGGGATAGAAACTGTTCAGGAGCCTGTTGGTGTCAGACTTGATGCACCGGTACCGCTTGCCATGCGGAAGCCAATAGAACAGTTTAGGGCTTGGGTGTCTGGAGAATGAAAATATGTTTGATTTCTGCTTTCAAATTTGATTACAACGTGATCTATGTGTCTGAATATTGACATAAACAACCGCATGTGTAAACTATTTAGTGCCTATCTATTATCTATTAGTTGCATGTAATTGTCACGAGGTAGGCCTATCTCCAATTTTTAGTAGGGAAACTCCTAAACTCTTAAGTGCTTTAGTAGTTTACATAATGCTATCTTTGTTATAATGTTCTACTTAGTAGTGTATTATTGTTTTCGTTAGCCACAGCGGATTCCATAATTGGCACGATAGTGCTGGTATTTGTAGTAGTGCTAGTAGTTTTATGATAGTGGGCTCTCATAATAGGCTAATAACATTCCTAGTAATAATAGGATATAGTATTTGTAATTTCTAGTAGCGAAATAGTATTTGTAATTCCTAATAATAGTGGGCAAGTATTTGTAATTGAAACGGTATTTAAAAAAGAAGCCAGGTATAGATTGACATACTTCTACATCTGCATCTGCATTGCTTGCTGTTTGGGGTTTTAGGCTGGGTTTCTGTATAGCACTTTGTGACATCTGCTGATGTAAAAAGGGCTTTACAAATACATTTGATTGATTGATTGATACAATGTGCACAATATTTTCTACAATGAGTTTTAATAATTGTCATTTATTTGTTTTAGCTTAATTATTTAAATATGCCACAATTAGGCCTATTTCCGTGCTTTTATGCTTCACTATTAGGCTATTGAGATATAGGAATACATGTGTATGTTTTTTTTTTTCTTTAGGCCTAATATAATAGTTTTTAATTCCTCGGTTCTGTTTAATATCCAGAATATATCCTGGATGCACAGGTTTTTCTCATATCCATGGATATACGAATATAATATTAGCCTAGAACAATAACATGATTTTTCCCACAAAAAAAAAAAAAAGACAGTGGTAAATCTATAGCTATGAGTAAATTAGCCTACCATGCAAACACAAATAAAATACTATACTCATTTCAATTTTTCCGTATTTTCTTGCTCAAAATAATCTTACATTAACTGAAATAATTTCATTTTTTCCCCAGTAGGTGATATAATAACAAATCATAGGACCTTGATGAAATAACAAATGAAGCTAGTCGGATATTATTCTCAGCAGGCTTTTGGTCTGATTAGTCTTTAATATGATACTATATTATATTATTATTGTATAATACCAAACTAATATGTTATAAGGCTAAACAAAATAGCACGATATAGCACAACATTATGAGCTTATCTTTAATAGGGTGTGTGCGTAAAAAGTTTTTTCTTTTGGAATGTTGTAGGTTCGGTCATAACTTTCTCTGGTTCTAGGACAATGGAAATATGAAAGGTTGAAACATTTTGACCGAGGATGGAAAGCGTCCCAGAGCATTAGTTTTAAGGAAGAATATCTACCATCATTTACGTTCCTTGGCGCCATAGAAAGAATGCAGTTTAAGACATTTGGTTTCGTTAATAAGCCCCAATATGGAGACGTTATTCTGGTTAATTTCAGCCCTGTGTGTTTTGTTGTGAGTATCATTGGTAATGCATATTACCCTCTAACATATGTGTAGATATCCCTCGTTAAATGTGTTTTACCTAATTTGGGAGGATTATATTTTGGATTTACTGATCTATACTAATAGGGACAGATACTTTCAATGGTCTTTTTGAAAGGTACTTTTCTCAATGGAGTTTAGCCTCTTCCTTTTCATAGCCCTACATTTATATCAGTAACAGCCTACTAATCATATAAAATAAGAATAATTTGCTTTTAAAACTAGACGTTCTCACGTTTTAAGACAAGATGCCCGCGAGCATTTAATAGCCAAAGGGATTGATTTATTATTTATTGTTCAGCCTTTATGATCACGTGCGCGCATCACCCAATCGAATGGCAGCCCTGCGTCCCAACTATTAGTAGACTGTAGTTCTTTGTGGTGCCAAGTTGCTACTTGATTTCTTCAGATTGTTATTTTGTGAGAGTGGGGTTTAGTGCGTGTGTATGTGTGTGTGTGTGTATCAGTGTATGTGTGCGTACATATGAAAGTCTCTTTTGCCATGTCGACATCTGGAACGTTGACTAGCTACTACGTCGACTCCCTCATCTTGCCCGAGAGTGAGGCGCTCTCCGCGCCCAGATACTCCTCCGGTCCGGGGGGGCTTCAGCACGCTAGGCAGCCCACATCGCTCACCGATCACACTGAGCTTGGGCCCTACACCTTCCCGACGAAAGCCCCGGTCTTTAGCCCGTCCTGGGGTCATGTACCGACCCAGTTTCCAGGCGCCGTGTCGTCGGTGTACCACCACCCATACGTGAATCACCGAGGCCCGGCTCCAGGCGACGTGGAGGGTCGCTACATGCAGTCCTGGCTGCTGGAGCCCATGTCAGGGTCCTTGCCTTTGACTGGATTACCGACGAGTCACCACTACGGGATCAAACCAGAGAGCCTGGATGCGCGAGCGGACATCGCGCTGCCTGGATCCCACACCGCGCTGCTCCTGTCCGATTTCGCCGACGGAACGGTGGCAACGACGTCCCCGGTGGACAAGGACACACTACCGGGCCAGACCGGGGACCTGAACGGGGAGATAGAGGAGAAACCAGCCCTTGATCCAAGTAAGTGCTGCTTCATCCTTTGATATTTGATAATACTACGTTCTGTAAAGCTGCAGGGATGCAGGTTAGAAACGTGTGATTAGTAGAGGGGGCGCGTGTTTGAAAATCTGACACTCAAGGCGTGCCATTCATTTATAGTGACTTGATAATAGGCTAGCTTTCTCTCACTCGTTTCCATGTTGTAATACTATGGGTTTCAGATTTTAAACAGTAGCAAGAGCCAAGTATGGGAGTGCATTGCTGCTTTGGAACGCATTTAGATGTTATATTCAGAATTGATATCCAGAGCCTTTGTGGGTCATATGTTTTTATGACATCTTGCCCAGCAGCACCGGGCTCACACCAGTGTCGTCTCGCACTCCCTCTCTCCAGATAACCCGGTATCCAATTGGCTCCACGCGAGCGCCACGAGAAAAAAGCGCTGTCCATACACCAAGCACCAGATCCTCGAGCTGGAGAAAGAGTTCCTCTTTAACACGTACCTCACGCGGGACCGTAGGTACGAGGTCGCGAGGCAGCTCAACCTTACCGAGAGACAGGTCAAAATCTGGTTTCAGAACCGCAGAATGAAGATGAAGAAATGTAATAAAGATGGTGGACCAAAATATGATTTATAGATATGATTGATTGAATGGGAACGTAAAAAATATCCGAAATAAGGGGGATATCTGTGAAAAGGCTTTTTCTCTGCTGGACTGTATTTTTAAAAGCCTTTGTCTCATTGTTTTATCCCTAACAGAAGCTGTTATGTGTCTTGTAAAAAGCATGTCCGGCTCTACTCCTCGGTTTGATGCAACTAACTACCTTTATATTGCACAATTTAACAGTGCGCATTATTTTTTGTTATTGTTATTAGGATGTTAATTAATTAAAGCCTTGGCTGTGAGTGCATCTGTGTAAGGCATGTAGCCTATTAATAGGCCTGTTCTCTGTACTCGTTTGTGTATGGATGTGTGTAGCTATGTGTGTGTCCTCTGGTTTGTAGATATAGGCCTCTATGTATTTCAGGTTACACTGAATTTAGTTTTAAAGTTTTTTTGTTGTCGTTATTTCAATTATTGGTAACGTTGAGTTAGGATCTAACGTTGGAGCAATAGGCTAACGTAATGGTAGCATTTTGAAGCGGGTGCTTGAGCATCAAAAAGCCACTTTGGCCTATTGGCCTATTGAAAATGTTATTAGAAGCTACATAGCAATGATATTGTGTTGACTACCTAGACTCTCTCAACTACCTATAATTACAAGAACCTAATTTCATTTTTACATGACTTTTCGTTGTGAAGAGACATAATGCTTGTATTGATAGTAAACTATGTCTGAATTTCAGGGAGTAACATTTGAGAGGACATATTTGTTAGAAAGAGAGAGAGAGGAAATTAAAACAAAAAAAACACTGTATGCTACCTAATGAATACCTCATGGTCGGGAGACTTTCAGATTTTTGGTTCTCAAATGTAATTTGTACTATTTATTGAATAAAACAAATTATATCTGCGAATGCAGCCACATTGAATTATTATAATTTATTGTGCATTTGCATTTCACTGTTTAGTCTAAGGTTTAATTCAAATTAATGTGATGCTCTGAAATAAATTATCAAATACTTAAAGCTATTGACAGTCAGATGTATTGTAGTCTACCAAATGTAATGTGTATAGGACTATTCTTACATTAGTTTGCACATACATTTTCCCCTCAAACAAAATATTGGAATAATACAAACAAAAAAGCTATTCATGGGGTGTACGGAAATAATAACAATCGACCCATTTATTTCATTTTCTGTGAGGAAATTCGAGACTGTGAACGCGCACTTGTATTTCTTTCTTCAAGCTCGCGCACAACAAACATACACACACAGACACATATACTATAAAACGGTGTATGTGTATGTGTATGTGTATGTGTGTGTGTGTGTGTGGGGGGCAAACAGTCTGTAGTCCGGGAAAACAGGCAGACCCGGCAGATCGCTGCACGCTTGCTGCTCTGCTCTGCTCGGCGCGCCTTGGCAGAGGATGTTGTTAGCTGTATACAGCCATAAAAGACAATTACCACTATAACCGTTTATGGGGTGCAAAGCTCTGCAAGGCGAGAGGACACAACACAAGAAAGATGTCGAAAGCTTCGACAGCTGAGGCCTGAAATAATGTAGTATATGTATTCTTCAGCTATGATATGACACCACCGCTCAGTTTAGACCCCGTGCTTCTGGACACATAATGGCCGCCATGTTTTGAAACCTTCAACATGAGCAGGGAGGTCGAGGTATTCAGCCTTCAAAGAGTGACTATTTAGGATTTAGCTTTGGCGGTATTCATATTACAATATTTGATCTGAGTTTCTATTTAACATTTGTGTCAAGAATGAGTTAGACCTATTGAAGTGGGCCTGCTTCCACCAAAAGCCTTTGGATTATAAGTCTAGAGAAGATCCCTCAAATCTGCGGTGTACCAAACTTTTTATATCGACAAAGAGTAGCCAATAAAATTTGAAATTAGAGAAAGGCCTACTTGTGGAATAGGCTACAACTGGACCTTGGAACTGTAAAGTCACATCCTCACAGAACCACCATTGTTTTATCAGACAACATCATTCACATCAGGCTTGAGTAAATAAAAAAAGTAAAATAGCAGTTGTATGGAGTCATATAGTGGTGTTGTGACGCGCTAGGCCTCGAGGACGCAGATGGACCCCAAACTTCAAAGGCTCAGCCAGAGACAGAGCAATATAACGCCTGGTCTGCTATACTGTCTGGCATTCCACTTTTAATGGCTTTATGGCCGTCCAGACACAATTAGGCCGTTTCCAGAACTCAGCACCCATTTGTTTTTTCTCTTTCTGTGGGACTGCAGCATGGACAAAAGGCCTAGCGGAAATGATCAGCTTTATTGGCGTCTCCCCCGACTGTTGCTCGCGGGACTCATGCTCATCTTGAGCGACCCTTTGTTTGTACCTGGCCTGGGAAACGTCCTTTCTCAGTTTCTCTGGTGGTAGCTAGTGTTCTGTTCACGCGCTGAAAAAACTGAAAGGCAATAAAGAAACAGCATTATGTGAGTCAAGACCTAGTCTCAGTATATATGAGACCAACATGAACATCATTGGACCTCCAAAATCTGTATTTTATGTGGAAATAGAACCGCAGTCAATGAGAGCCACATACATTCATCGCATTCCTATTATGTGATTTATTTATTTATTTGGCCCCTAAGGGGGAATGGGTGTGATTGCAGTTATGTGGGCACTGCACCTTTTCCACCCTGCAACTACGTGTAGTGACCAGAGGATGGCGCTGATGTTCCATAACAAGGCTCAAAATGGCATCGTTTGAACAATTTCCGTTTGTGATTACTTTCGGATGAACATATTTTAAGAGTGCAACAAAGTGATTGAAACGGTATAGACGTGTTTAGGCCTATTGTTTAGGCCTATTGATTAATTTTCGTTCTATAACATTGTAATTCTAATTTTTGCTTGTTATTATAGTCTTTATAATGATATTAGCGCTTGTAGACGTTGGCACATCCGCGGCAGTATTTAATAGTAAACAGACTAATAAAAAATACTAAATAGTAGGCCTTAGTCTAGTTACAAAAAACATTTTGCACGTGTACGCCTGTCTTTTATTTGACGCTACAGAAAAACCTAAAACGTAGTTGTTCTGCGTGTCAAATGAAGGAAAACAGACTTTTAGAAGGCCTAATTATTATAGTTAGAATGTGTTTATTTCCTTCTTTAGTTTAAGCCTATAGGAATACTAAACACAAGTAGTGTTTAATAAACAGAATGCATTTTCAACATATGATTTGTACAGATGATTCGTAAAGTAATTGGAAAACTGTTTTGCCCTTTTCAAGTAGGCCTATCGTTCATATTCAACATTTGCAATAACCCTACACAAAATGTGATTTGTGTTCAATTTGCTTTAGTCTAATCAATTTTGGAATAATATGATATGGCGTATTAAAATATCAGATGTTTGATGGTATTTAAATTAGCCTAAATGGGTTAGCTTTATGCTCAGTAATTCCACCGTTTTTTTTTTGTCCCTACTGTGTTTTTTTTCCAGATAACATTGTGGAATGCGAAAGAATATACATAAACGTTACCAAATTAGGTCACAGCCTATTGCATATATATTTCAAAATAGGGCTTCCTCCAAGAAAGGCAAATAATACCAACGTAGTAGACGTTTAAATGTAGGCCTACAAAAAATGTTGTTCATTTTAAATATTCAAATTGACTTAATTTGCCTACGTAACTTTTATGTTTTTAATTAATACTTTGCTTAATCTAGCATTAGGTTACCACTCAAAATAATTCTCAAATATTTCGTTAGGCCTATACTTTACTTGCATTTTCTAATCATTAAAACAAGTACTTTTATATTTTCTTATTTGAAACGCAACAATGGTAACTTAAAATGTTTACAATTGTAAATTGTATGATTTAAATCACCACAATACCAAAGAAACTGTAGTAAAGTTTATAATGGCATGCAATCCCAAATGTAGCCAACTATATTCTAATTCTATTTTGAATTGATCTGTCCTTTCTAGCCTAGGCATCTGCTCATGTTTTGATGTTTGTTGTATCACACAGTTCAGTTTAACTCATGGAGAAATGTATTTATATGAATTGAACGAAACCTTTTGAATGAATACACAATGCAGTTTTATACTCTTAGTTGTGTATAAATTACATATGTTATGAGGTGGTGGAAACTATGGTATTATGGTGGTATTATGGTGGTATTATGGTGTATTATGGTGTATTATGGTGTATTATGGTGTATTATGGTGTATTATGAAATTAAGGGTAAATGCAACAGTATACGTTTATTTTATTTTGATGACAGTTTATTTTGTGTAATTTCATATGTATAGGCTTCCCACAGTGTTTATGAGAGGGTGTGTGTCCAAAGAGAAGAGAAAGTGTGTGTGTGTGTGTTAATCCTGGGAAATTCCATGGTAACAGGGTGATGCTGAGACTCAGATTGTTCACTTTAAAATGTAGCCTATGTAATAAAAAAAAACAATGATTGCAAAGTTAAACAAACCATACAACTCTATGCACAAGGAGTACTTTTATCAATTTCCACTAGTTTTTGTTTGACATACATTTTCTCACCATCACTCTTTTACCATGGAAGGGCCCTCCTACTCTGCGGTCTGTGCACTTTAATGAAATCTCTGGCACCGCCGGTGATTGGCTACATCGGTCACGTGGGTGAGTTCTTCGGTCCTGGGCAAAATGGGGTTTGGTGTAAATCCAGGGTGTATTGCTGTCATATATCATGCTACCTCGTAAAAACGACACTGAAGATTCTGGCCCAACAAATCACAGAGAAAAAAAATATGAGTTCTTATTATGTGGATGGTCTTTTTAACAAATATACGGCGAGCAGTTCTTTTTTCCCAAACGCAGACCTAGGTTCGTGCGCTCTTGGACCCGATGAAGAAGGACCCGCATCGGCTCACAGTGCCGCAGCCCCTACCTTCCCACCGTCCCTATCCGGACATTACAACGTCAACAATGCAATCTACCAGAGCCACCCAATGTTTAGCCCTTGTTATGGCCAGGGGCAGGACGTTCGCAGTCTGCACTGCAGCTCCTTCAACCAGAGCCGTCTGTTCGGGGACAGCTGCGTCCAGCCGGGGCCCCTCACCTCGCCAGAGGACAAACACTACCGGATGTACCCCTGGATGAAAACATCAGGTACAGTCTAACATGGGTCTTTCCTTCTGCTCCTGCAGAGCTCTGCTATAATGTCAATTAATCTACAAAACCTTGGGATAATGGTAACCTCTTAATGGTGCAATGAATTACTTGAAGCCATTGGAATTTCATGGAAATAATTGTAAAACTTTTATTGCGCAAGTAATGAGTTCTGTGGCCATAAATATATTATCCCTTCGCTTCTGCAATGCTTTTTGCCTCTGCTTTCTTACTGCTTCTTCTCCCCTTTGTGCCAATAAAATACCAGACTATGTAATGCCAAAATAAAGGAAACACCAACATAAAGTGTCTTAAAAGGGCTTTGGGCTACCACAAGCCAGAACAGCTTCAATGCACCTTGGCATAGATCCTTGGCATAGATCCTACAAGTGTCTGGAACTCTATTGAAGTAATGCAACACCGTTCTTCCACCAGAAATTCCATCATTTGGTGTTTTATTGATGGTGGTGGAAAACGCTGTCTCAGGCACCGCTCCAGAATCTCCCATAAGTGTTTAATTTGGTTGAGAGCTGGTGAATGAGATGGCCATCTCGTATGGTTTACATCGTTTTCATGCTCATCAAACCATTCAGTGACACTTGTGACCTGTGGATGGGGGCATTGTCATCCTATGGGGGCATAGCCAGTGTAGCCAAAATAATGGCCTTCCCAGCATTTTTATATATGACCCTAAGCATGATGGGATGTTAATTGCTTAATTAACTCAGGAACCACACCTGTGTGGAATCACCTGCTTTCAATATACTTCATATCCCTCATTTACTCAAGTGTTTCCTTTATTTTGGCAGTTACCTGTAGGTTGTAGTGTAAATCAGTGCTCATGCGCTCTGCAGTTCGTCCTTTTGATTGGGCTCAGAATAGCAGTTGTGATGATCATAATCAGTTTCAGAAACGTATTTGTACACAGGGATATAATCTATAGTAATGGTGGTTGTAAATAATATCAGTAGTTGGAGCAGTGGTAGCCTATTGATAGTATAGTTGCTGGTTAGTAGGGAATTGGTAGGCAAGACATTGTTTAATAAAGATATACCCTACCAATGAAACTAGCAGTAGTAATTGCTTATGGGCTATGTGGGTATGACCTAGTAGTGGCATGCAAACACATGCTTCTAATTGGAGAGGCATGCAGTGCATTAGCTACAGGCTACAGGCTAGAAGATTTTTAATGGAAGGAAGTCTTAAAAAACTATAAAGTTGATTAAATTGTATAGGCTACATGAGGCAAAACTTCATTGACTGTCCGAAAACATTTTGAGAAAGAAATCTTAATAAAAATGGCACAGACACAAACTGTGGCTATTGGCAAGTTTTTATTAATTAATGTATTAACTTCTATAGAAATAATACATGAATGCAAGATCACAGAATTGTCACATATGTCATTATCAATATCATGATGTTATCAGAGGTATTACATATGCCATGCTTGTGTAGGACATGGTTTTATGCATGGCAGAGCAATTTGTAGTATTTTTATTCTTGGACCTAGCAGATTGAAACCGTTCTCTCTTGTAGATCCAAACCGAAAGCGTGGACGTCAGACCTACTCCCGGTACCAGACACTGGAGCTGGAGAAAGAATTCCACTTCAACCGGTACCTGACCCGCCGGAGGCGCGTGGAGATAGCACAAGCGCTCTGCCTGACCGAGCGCCAGATCAAAATCTGGTTCCAGAACCGGAGGATGAAGTGGAAGAAAGATCACAAGGACGAGTCCTCGAGCTCGACCCCCGGTGCCACGGGCGAGGACGTAAACGAGGACGATGACAGTGATCCGGTAACCGACGGACAGTCCAAGGCCGAGGACGCCGAGTACGGAGACTCCCCGTCCACCGGTGTGGCGTCAGAAACCCCTGCAAGAGGAGATGGAGACATAGAGGCTATTAGAAACACTCCATAAATGTTTATATTTGTCATTAAGGAAATGTTCTAGATGTATGCTCTCACAGAATCGATACACTCTGTTCGATCATACTATTTAGAGCTTAGTAGTCTGATTGAGGAAACGACTTGCAGGGCTGAAATTGAGACGCACTTATTGAATGAATACAAGCTAGTGAAAACACTGGCTATAGCTATAAAATGCACATGGCTATAGGAAGATGAAAGGGAACGGATACTACCTATTTACTCTACAGTATTACTATGAAAACTCAATTTGATCTTTGAATGTAGAACAAGTCTACTGTAAATGTTATACAATATTTAATGTTAATCGTTGGGAACTATTAGATATTTTACTACTGAAATAACATTCCTGAACAGAGAACTACCTAAGGCGACAGTTGCATTCACGCAACTTCAGAATTTACCTCCAGTTTCAATTGACTTCGAGGAACTTTTTTCGCACTCTTTTTGTCTCTATTTCAAAGCGAAATAAATGCAGATGTTGAATCCACTGGTGAATATCATTTACATTTTAGTCATTTAGCAGACGCTCTTATCCGTCTTTTGGGGCCAAGTAGAGATTGGAATAGATATTCGCATGATTTCCAAACAGCAATGTTTAACAAAAAAAATGAATAGCCAAATGTGTATACCCTACCTCAGATTTTACGTCAGAGACTAGACCTATAGCCTGCTACTGTCTCACTGAATATCAACACTGTGTAAGAAGTCTTTACATACACTGTATTGGTACGTCGTGTTGTTATTGTATTTTCATCTTAAATGTAGCTTTCAATTATTCTAACTAGCTATAGCCTATGGTCAATGTAATTGTTATGGACGTGAGTGTGTCTGCTTGCATGTATCTGTAAGTTAGGGAATTGGTGTGTTTGTTTTCTTTGAATCTAGGCTATACAAGAAAAGCGGTCCAATGTTCAGAAATAAGCATTTGTTTTGCAATTTGACCGGTGTAAATAGACCAATGCATTCGACACTCACCGCTTTGACTCTGCCGTATTCTTATTGTGACATTATGTAAGATGCAATAGTAATCGAATAAAAACAAAACCATTCAGTTTGGAAAATAGCTTCGTAACGAATTTCCTGTAAGCCAACCATACATTGATGAAATCTTTAGCCAAAAGGTTATGTAATACAACCTACATGCCAAAATAGATGGTACTACTCTAAATTACGCATGAGTGAAAATATTTTATCTTGCTTTTTCACTTTCATCTAGTTATACTAATATGTTTACATTTAAGCCATTTGTTTTTATATGACAATAAATACTGAGCCTACAAATATGCTATTACGCTATTACATAAGAACACAGTGGCCTGTATCTCACTTAGCCTACTAAGCAGGATAAGTGAAAAAAGAGATGAAACCAATGCCACATTTGCTTAATAAGTATGTTAACTGTGAGGACACGAGACTGGACAGGCTGTGTGTGTGTAGCCTTCTGTGAAGGGGAAATGACTGCATTCCCCCTCCTTTCGGTAAGATGGCGCCTAGTTCTGACCTGCCCCCTCCTCTCCCTCTCCGTTTCTCCCTTCTCCGTTTCTTCCACTCTCTCCCCCTGTCGCTCTCTCACTCGGTCATAAATCCGTTGTTGTTTATGAAAATTTACAACATAGCAATACAACTTTACGAGGCTCCTCGGCTTCCCATTGGTCGCCGCTGGTCACATGGCATGGAGCAGTGAACATGAACTTTTTATATATAATTTCCTTTTCCAGAATAGAACTGCACTGTGTCTGCCAACCAACCCTTTCTGTCCTGTAAAAGCTTTTGCTCTTCCATTTCTTTTCGTCGTGTGTAACGCTGTTTTGCTTTTTAGATGTTGTTTTTACTATGCAGCGCAAAGATCAGTGCCCTTCTCTTGGAACCGGACGGTTTGGATTCATTACCGACGTTCTCCGTGACGGTTTGGCACAATGGACGGGTTGAGCGTGTCGTTGCCTGATCCCGGGAGATCTTGGATTCGTCCAGGGACCCAGCTGGCAGGCCAGCAGCACTTGTCAGTCCTCTCCCTGTGACATCACCACACGCCATGAGACCCGAACACCTCACATACAGTAAGAATACTACTTGCTTATCATGATTGGATATTATTTGGTAATCAAGCATTAAATAGAGTGAGCGTTCAAGTAAAAACAACTTGCTGTGCGTGTTTAGTTTTAAACAGTGATGGCTTTCAGAAGAGTGGTTGGAATGTTATGTTGTAGGGTTAAACGGGTTTTGTCCAATAATTTGAATTGACAATAACGATATGATCATAATTTGCATGATTAAGATCAATGCTATGGTTCGTTGATTGTGGTCTCTAGACTTGACCTATCTAAATCTGTTATTCAATATTAATGTAGGCCTATGCCTTTTCATTATGAGGATTTGAATAATTTATTAGCGATGCATGCTATTTGTGTTTATTTGTTGCTATTCAAATTGAATGGTCTTTCACCAGCTCCGAATTGGAGCCAATAGGCCTACTCATTGTCGCCCTCTTGTGGGAGAAGTGTGGTCGTGTTTTGGTCACAGCGTTCTGTCCATTTACTCTCATTTACAGTCTATGTGTTAATTGTGCCAGCACAGAGCTTCCCTTTGTCTTTTTATTCGTGCTTTTCGTTAAACCACAAAACAGGGGTGTACATTGCTTTTTGTATCATGATAGCACGGTTTCGGGATATGTAGCAGTTGTTTTGATTTGAGGAAATGATAGATTAGCTCAATCAAGAGTATTCTTGCTCCAGTCTTCCTCTCCTGCTTGCTAGCCCTATGATGTAACATCAGCACCACATCATCGAAAGGACCTTCTTATCAATGACCCATTCATCTCGATATTGTTCATGCTTATAATATTTAGAAACAATATGGCTACAACAATATGCTATTAATGCTATTTTGCTGGTAATATGCTATTCTTTTTCATAAGAGTTATAAATCCTCTATATTGGCACTGCAAAAGGCCCAATACAGCAGTAATGCTCAACGTTTTTTTATTAAGCTGTACGATAGGTGAGCTAATACTACACGTATTTTGTCTGTGTAAATACAGCCTAGAAATAGAAAATGGTAAGGTGTAGGGCTATGCAAATAGCCTACAGAATGGTCAAACATCAAGACCTGATGACGAGATGACACCGCGGGAAATAAATACAATCATTATGAGCACATGCAGAAAGTAAATACACTCTCCCTTAAAATGGGGTTCTGATTGTGACAACAGATGGTGAAGTGTTCTTTACATAAGATTACTGGACATCACAGAGAGCCAGAACGTCACAATAGACACCATTCATATAACAATAGATTATCACCTCAAAATGATGTCGCAGAATAGAACTTGCGAGACCAAAACGTCACAATTGATATGGCAATATTATTACCTCAAAATATGACACAAATTAGATCTCGAGAGACCGAAATGTCACAATAGGCATCAATACCAAACAAAAGGTACAACACAATAGCCTATTGTTGTGATGCATTTTATTACTGTATGCGTGCGTGTCCGTTGCTGCGTTTGTGTCAGTGTGCTTAGTTTTCTTCGATGAGTTTGCGTCTTTTAGAATTGAATCCGTTATGGTTCACCTATTGAATGTGTTTTACCTTAGTGGCTCCAATTTAATCTCCTCCTCGATATTTACAGTGGTAATGAAACTAGTCGAGCAAACATTTCATAGATTCAGATTCAGTGTTTAATAGTCACATGTACAGGGTTGCAGGTGTGATTGCAGGGTACAGTGAAAACCTTAGGTTCCGAGATCCAAACATTAGAAAATAGCCTTGCAGCTGCTCCCCTGCACTATACAAAATCTAGGGTATCTGAAATGCTGCTTGAACAGTTTGGGCTGTTAAGCACGTAATACAGCCTACGTAGCTAATTACATTTATGAGAAAATAAAACTGAAGCATCTTGACATTTTACTCACTCATCAAGGTTTGGAGCTGCATTTCAAATTGTTAGCATTTTACCATCTGGAGAGCACTCGCCCCTCCCTCCTCTGTGCGCCACAAGCACGCACACAGAGTGCCTAATCCTGATGCTTTTTTAATATATATATATATTTTTTTACATCCTGACGCTTCTAGCAGATGCAGACATTTGAGTAGAACGCAACTAGTCCTGTCGTTTTTTCTATACTTTTCCTGTTTCTCTCACTCTGCAAATGTTTTTATTTTTCACTTCCTGATTTGCCCAATTTCCACCGGTGGGATAATTTCTTGTGAACTTTGTTTCTATTGGCCATTGATAAATCAGATGTTACCTCTTGGACTCCCTAACAACCTCTTTAAAACCACAATCACAAACATTCCTGGCCATTCTAAAGCACAGAACCTATCCTTGCTCCTTCCAACATCCGGAGCATGCTCGTATGCGCTCTCTCAAACTAACCCTGAAATGCAAGACCCGGGCTCCTTTAGACACCGCTGTACACATCTGGTCATGAGTGCAGCTTGTTCCTCGGCTACTGCGGTGCCTGAAGGGGCCCTATTACCGCTGTGAGTCTGCATCCTTCGTACAGCGTACTTATCCATCACGCTGTTAGTGCCAGCAGTGCCGACGCTCTTAGCTGGCTGTGTGGGGCGTCCTATAGTCTTTTGTGGACTATAGGACCAAGAGGTCCAATGGATTTCGGATAACCAGGGCCTTCGTTGCCAAGACGAGACTACTGTAAACCAGCAGTCGCGTGCCCCAGTTTCTAGTAGCCTAAATAGACGTTCCAGATGAAGTGCACTATTTTCTGCTCACTAGACAGGTCTCTTTTGTAAGGCTACATGTTTTAAAAAGTTATCGCTCTGCCTGTGCTGCCTGTACACTAACCCTGCTCCAGCTATACGTCACATTCTCATCAGCTATTATTATAATCATCACCACTGCTCCTATTTTAGCTTAGGTCTATATACGGTTTATCTCTAAATTACACCAACAAACCAGCAACTCAACACCGATAAACAGCAGCTTTAATCAAATAGTGGTAACTTAATGTAGTCATATCTGTGTTATTGTTATTGCTTGTATTGATTGGGCCTACATTATTATTACTTCTGCTATTACCGATATTTGTCTTCATATCATATTTCGAACTTCATTTTAGATTGTCATTACGTGGTGCCTTATCTTTCTATTTTGAAAACTTGACAAGACTTACTTAGGCAGAATCCAGTCCTATAGCCTACTGCTTTCGCTTCCTTACTCCGAGGACATTATTTATGGAAGGAAATGGGTGTGGGGAAGATGCCGAGCAAGGCCAAGGGAAATTATTTCATTGTCCCTTAGGCAATGGTATCCCATGTAAAAATCAACAAGACAATTCCGTATACAAAAATATAATGTTTATTGCCCCTATAGTCAGACATTCTTTTTTAAATTTATATTCTAAATTCCCTCTTCTCATACTTTGATTTACCTTAATTGAGACGTTCATTATTTTGCTTCTTTTTTCATGGAGATTACAACATGTTTTTAGATTACAACATGTTTTTAGATTACAACATGTGTTTAGATTACAACATGTTTTTAGATTACAACATGTGTTTAGATTACAACATGTGTTTAAATTACGTGTTTAGATTACAATATGTGTTTAGATTACAACATGTTTTTAGATTAGAACATGTGTTTAGATTACAACATGTGTTTAGATTACAATATGTGTTTAGTTTAAAACACGTTTTTAGATTACAACATGTTTTTAGATTACCACATGTGTTTAGATTACAACATGTGTTTAGATTACAATATGTGTTTAGTTTAAAACACGTTTTTAGATTACAACATGTTTTTAGATTACAACATGTTTTTAGATTACCACATGTGTTTAGATTACAACATGTGTTTAGATTACAATATGTGTTTAGTTTACAACATGTTTTTAGATTACATGTATTTAGTTTACAACATGTTTTTAGATGACAACATGTGTTTAAATTACATGTGTTTAGATTACAACATGTTTTTAGATTACAACATGTGTTTAGATTACAACATGTGTTTAGATTACAATATGTGTTTAGTTTACAACATGTTTTTAGATTACAACACGTGTTTAGATTACAGCATGTTTTTAGATTACATGTATTTAGATTACAACATGTTTTTAGATGACAACATGTGTTTAAATTACATGTGTTTAGATTACAACATGTTTTTAGATTACAACATGTGTTTAGATTACAACATGTTTAGATTACTTTCAAACGAACCTATCCTTTTCCTGTTCTAAAAATTGACTTTAGTTATCCATATTTGAAAAAAAAAACTAAAACTAAAAATGTATATTATTGTAATGCACCCATCCATGTTTGCTTGAGATTAGGCTATTCATTACACACAGCTGCAAGATTTTATGCTTGAACCAATTTAGCCTAATTATCTAATTTACATAATTCAGTCATAATTTTCAATTGAGGAGTAAAGGGTTGTCTATTGAGACTATTGTATTGTAGCCTACTTTCTGTCGTCATCTAAAAAACAAAACATAAGTTATTTCAAATGCCTCCTTTTTTTTAGCGTATCTAACATTTCGGAATGACTGCCTTTCTATTAGATTGGATTATAACTGCAGGTTGATCACTCTATGCACATCAGTAAACTAAGCTTCCCCTGTAAAATGATTATTAATGGAACACATATTTGCAATATCTTTCAAATGTCCTAAAAGGTCATTCATACAATTCAAGGATATTCTAACATAGTTTAGCGAAATATTTAACTACATTTAAGGTTCTAGACAATTGTTTTATATATTTTTTTATTATACTTGTTTTTTCTTGTACTGTATGTGTTTTATTCCCAACGAGAAGGATAATGTTTACCATCGATGAGGATACCATTGAATACCGATTTCTCTCTGTACTCTGTATCAGTGGAGAGGATGCATGTTCAGTGCGTTTCTTGTTGTATTGTTTGGGGAGACCATGCTTTTGCCGCAATGGTCGTTAACCTCTGAACGACCCCGTTCGGAACCCACGCATCAAACACCGTCGCAGGCAGTGCCAGACTGCGGCCAGAGGATGGCGCGCGAAGACAATCCAAGAGATGCAACCCGGGCCCCGCGAGCGGCCTGCCTAGGCGCCTCCCAGGCGCGCGCCCCTAACATCCCACCAAGATTTCCTATTTGTGCACGAGTTTACCTCTGGGGGTCATCAAGCAGGATTTACGACTGGTCAACAAAAGCACGTGATTCTCAGCCGTACCCCATATTTGGGTGCCTACGTAAGAGTGAATCAAGTACATGCTCTACTCATTTCCATAATTCATCATAAATTGTGCAAGGGTGCTATAGAACGCGCAAAACCATCAAGAGCCACAAATCAAGTACACACGTTATTACTTTCTCCACAAAAAAACAACAAATACCTGCTAAACAACAATATTGGAATTATCAACCAATGAGCTCCTATTTTGTAAACTCATTCTGCGGTCGCTATCCCAATGGCGCGGACTTCCAGTTACATAATTATGGAGACCACAGCTCCGCAAACGAGCAATACAGGGACTCCACGACCATGCATTCCAGCAGGTACGGTTATGGCTACAACGGGATGGACCTCACTGTCAATCGCGGTAACGGGCACTTTATGGCCAGCGTGAGGGCACAGGGCTACTCCCCGAACCAGTCGGTGGCGGCAACAACGTCCTCTGTCGAGACGCCCAGGTACACCCAGCCCGCGAGCGCCACCGAGACGGCGTCCCTCTCGCCTCCACCTGACCCGCTCCCATGCTCCTCCTCTGTCGCGAGCTGCTCGTCTCCGATCAGCGAGTCTCAACCTCAACACCGAGCCATAAAGAACTCCATAACGAGCCCCTGCACGGCCCCGAGCTCGAATGGAGGCACGCTGTTGAACCGGGTGTGTGTGTCCAAAGCGTCCCCCCTCCAGGAAGAGAAGCCCGCGGGAAGCGCGCAGACAACTTCACAAAATGTCACCGACGGTGCCCAGCCTCATATTTACCCCTGGATGAGGAAACTGCACATAAATCATGGTAAAACAGCATTGTATTTTGTTTAGGTCGACGTATATGTTTGTGTTTTGTACTTGAGACAGCTCGTCTTGTCTGTGTGTGGGTTTGTGGTGTGTGTGGGGATGGTGTGCCCTATAGCCATTTTAAGAGGTGCTTGTTGCCATTTTCGGAGCTAAAAACTATTTCCCCAAATCATTCTATGAAAGAAAAATAATCTGTATTCGATATTTTAGTAATGTTAGTTTTAAGGGGTGTGTGTAATGGCGAGATTTACGACACCTGTTTAAGTGCATATTGTACCCCAAGCGTTGGGGAAATAATTCAACGTGGCATGAAAACACAGGACATTGTCTTTTTACCAAAATGCAGGAGGTGAACATTTGATTTAAATATAGGATTATACATTTTCCTTTGCCATAATTTCGGATTTTTCTAGATTTGTATGGTATTTTTATAAGACACATTTGGAAATTGATTGGCACTTCCACTGCATTTTAAAGTGTGTGTGAAAGGTGTGTGAACGTTGTGTGAATAGTGTATAAAGGTGTGTTTAAAGATTAAGCTCCATGGAAGAGTGACCAGTAAAATTTCTAAGCGTTGTTGCCAAGTAACCCTGCATAAAGCGTTAGTAAACATTATTGTGTAGGTTTCTATTTTGATTGTGGGCTCATGGTTGCATCCTGTGTGTGTTACCACCAGACAGTTTGACCGGACCAGAAGGGAAGAGGGCGAGGACAGCCTACACGCGTTACCAGACACTGGAGCTCGAGAAAGAGTTCCATTTCAACCGGTATCTGACCCGCAGACGGAGGATCGAGATAGCGCACGCGCTCTGCCTATCAGAACGCCAGATCAAAATCTGGTTCCAGAACCGGAGAATGAAGTGGAAAAAGGACAACAAACTAAAAAGCATGAGCATGGCAGCGGCAGGGGGTGTAGGGTACCACCATCCCTGATATTTGGTTTCCCGATGAGCACTAATGAGATAACACAAAGCTTGGGAGAACTTCCCATCATGTCAAAAGCGCAAGAGACTTTCCGAGGGCTTTCTTAGGACAGTGAACATCCACGTGTCCATGCAAGCTCCAGCCTTTAAAAAAAACATTTCCTCTTTAATTATTTTATTTTTACGGTGATATTGCTTGTGTGAGTAAAAAAAAGAAACTTGCGTTCTGTAAACGTTAGTCTTAAAGGAAAAACCAATGGGAAATACATGTTTGTTTAACTTATTTCTTGTTCAAAATCGAATAAACTCAAAGTTACTACAAATAAGTCCATTAACTATCCAATAAAAGTTGTGTAGCCTATTGCAATCATAAAACACTATAGAAACTCAAATGAATGACTTGATAAGAAATGTAGTTGCTTTTGTGTATAGCCTTTGTTTTATAAAGTAGGCCTATGTATTTATTTGTTGAATGTATTGTACCAAACTCAGATAACTTGTTCCTTATTGTAGACAGGGTTGATAGTCCCTCCTATAGCTCAGTTGGTAGAGCATGGCGCTTGCAACGCCAGGGTTGTAGGTTCGATTCCCACGTGGGGCCAGTATGAAAAATGTATGCACTCACTAACTGTAAGTCGCTCTGGAAAAGAGCGTCTGCTAAATTACGTAAATGTAAAATGATAAGCCTTATGTGATTGTTGTGCATTGTGAACACGTGATGGAACCGCAGTTCTGACCCAGTGTTTGTAGATGTGCCTATGTATCCTTCTTTTGCACGAGCTTCTGTAAAGTTGTTCACCTGGCGCATCTTCTTAGAATGTGTGTTTCTGTCTTTTGTGTATACGTTTTTTTCCTCATTATTTCGGATGTGAAGGGTTCCATAGTGGATCCCATCGCCTAAGCGCCATCGTGATATAAGCTTTTTGTAAATGTTTTTAAAGAATGACTGGAAATTGAAAATAATATTGTTATGGTGATGCTGATTATAATAAACTTTCTACTGGAACGACACAGACTGTAAATTATTTGTTATTTCGATTCTTTCTACTATTTATTCATGTGCCTAGATGGTAAAACGCATGTTTGTATGACTCAGAATTGTCCAACATTTTAGTTATTGAATGCAAACTTTATAGCCCTGCTGTAACTCGTTTTTCCTAGGTCAAGACTATGCCTAAGTAAAATGCAGTCCTGAAATATTCGTTTTTTCCACTCAGTTTAACCCTTTAACCCCATTGATTGCATTTCAAACTTAAAAAGCTACACTTTCTTAGCTAGTTTCAAGGTCGAGAAAATCAACAGGTAGACAAATCTATATCCGTTCTCTTTACTCACCTCTGCACGTGGGGCTAAAGCGGGTCCTAGCCAGTGACCCGCTTTAGGGGCTCTGCGTCCCATGTGCTCGAGCTCACTACTCTCAGGAAATCAGTTCGACTTTTCGAGCCATAAACTTTATTAGGCCGGTTCCGGCTCGCTGACATTTGGGTGCCAAATGAATGGGGGTTTTGTCTATGAATTTGATCGTAAAAATCATCCAGAGCGCGGCCAGATAGGCTCACTGGCCATAAACGGTCACGTGGTGGCCATTAAAGTAAGTTTTATGGTTTTGGGGAGTTGACAGTATATGGCACATAACATATAATCGCACTGACGCGAGGCTTCGTCTGACTCTCTCCTTGCAGGCTGTAACAAGTGTTCCTTGACCGTTACAGCCGCGCCTCGCTCACCAGAACGCCTCGCGATGGACCCTGCGCACCGGACTCACACGAGGAGAGAGCTCCTGTCTCGAGGTAAGTTTCTGCCTCTATTGCCCTTGAGTAGCCTGTAGGCTTCCATTCCCTTGGCTCTGAACAGCCACCCTGTTCGAAACAGCATTATGATTGTATTCGTCCATATTAGCCCATTACGCTAATTTGTCAGTTGGTTCTGAGCTGAATACTGGTCTCTCTCGGCAGATGTTGGCCAGGGTTGGGTCCGGCTCATGGATATTTAATTGCTTCCTTCCCAGTGGAACTTGTTCCCCTCCATCTGTGGTGAAACTCATAATCCATTTTTGCGTGTGGGATAATTATGCTTCTGTCCACCCCCACAAACATCACTTTTTAATACGTTGTTTTTTTCACTTCCTGTATTACACAAGGGGGATTATTTGGCCTCTTCATAGCTATTCATGGGCTGGACAAGCCCAAAAGCTATTTGAGCTGTTTTATGGTGTTTGCATTGTCATTGCTTAACTGAAATATGTTTGTGTACAGTACTCGACTATCATGCAACACTTTTGGGGTCTTTTTTTATTTATTTTTTATCTGGGTGAGTGTGAAGTTACGCACAACTTCAAAACTTTAGAGATGCAGTTGTCGCTTTGGCCAGTTTTCCTCATGTGTTCCATAAACACACAGTAGAGTAAAACATTAGAGGACAAAAAGCAGCAGGGCCACATTTGAAAAGGAATTCCGTTTTGTGTCAGCCACGTCATTTTGTGTTTTGGGGTTATAAAGTTCATTTAACCTCTTGGAGAGTGTCATTCTCGCTTCATGGTGACCTCTTTGCAGAAACTGGGCGCGTGTTTCCGTGCCGAGGTGGTCACTCAGATACCAGTATCTCCAAGAAAGGGTTGATTTATCAAAGTAGCCAATGTGAAAATGCGTCACAAGAGTGTGTGTAACTTTTGTATTGTGACTCATTTTTACAATCACAATAGTTTCCCTTAGATTGCGTTTTTTTTGTTTGCTGGAAAAACTGCTCTGCATCATAATTTCTTATTTCGCGTAGGCTATAGCCTAATTATGTTGTTGTTTTGGTTATAATGTAGACTTTGTTTATCTAGCCTTTTTTTAAAAAGGTTTTGTTTTAAAGTGGGTTTCATAAAACCTTTAGTGAGTCTAAATTAGTTATTACAGTCTATTCATAACCTTTGTAACATCCGTGAATTCGATTTCAATCCATGTAATCTCAAAATATTTTATTGAAATTCAATGAATACATCTGAAAAAAAGAATTATATATCAATACATCGATTGAATTCAAACTCTCAATCGTCTGGTGATTTGACGTGGATTGACCCCAACCATATTTCATATCCTCCCCTTCTCCTCCCATTAACCTAACAGTTGACATATATCACCAAGTCGTGTAAACAAATAGCCAATGCAACGAAATGTAACTTTATTTCCATTACAGTTTGTGGTGTAGAAAATGTAAGTAAAACCATTATTCTATACCATTATCATTGTGTCGTCTGGGGAGAAAATTACACCATTGTTACACAATTAAAATGTCCAAATCAGGGTCCTTTATGCGTTGCACAGCAAGGCAGACAATGCCAGGCAGAAAAAAAGAACCGTCCCCAGTGCGCGGTTCACCGCGAGGTCAGCCATAGCAGAAAGATAAATCTGCATTCTCCCGGAGCCACCAGCAGAGCTCGCTTTAGGCCAAGTTCAGTGTCACCCGCAGCCAGCTTCTGAGAGGGGGAGAAACACACACACACACACACACACACACACACGATAGTATGATAGGACACACATATACTTGACCGGTTTGCTTGCCTTAATACACATTGCAGTGAAGAAATATCATTTGCATATTGCATTCGTTTTTTTTGTTGGAGAGCCTGTGGAGCCTTTTAGCAATAACAGTAGGCATATGTGAGGCAAGGACAAAAACGCTCACACGAAAGTTTGAAGGACACACATGCATCCCTGAGTGGTTTGCTTGCCTTGATACAAACTAATGAATAACATAAGTTGCTCTGGATAAGAGCTTCTGCTAAATTACTAAAATGTCACTATAAACTGGGTGGTTCGAGCCCTGAATGCTGATTGGCTGACAGCCGTGGTATATCAGACCATATACCACGTGTATGACAAAACATTTATTTTTACTGCTCTAATTACGTTGGTAACCAGTTTATAATTGCAAAAAGGCACCTCTGGGGTTTGTGGTATATGGCAAATATACCACGGCTAAGGGCTGTAACCAGGCACTCCGCGTTGCTTCGTGCAAAGAACAGCCCTTAGCAGTGTCATATTGACCATATACCCCAACCCCTCGGGCCTTATTGCTTAAATATAATTTACATATTGTATTAGAGGTATGGAGAGCGGTGTATTGTAACCAAAACCCACAGTGAGACAGTACAGAGATACAACTACAGTTATTCTAATATTGGCTGGGCTCCCGAGTGGCACAGCGGTCTAAGGCACTGCATCTCAGTGCTTGAGGCGTCACTACAGACCCCCTGGTTCGATTCCAGGCTGTATCACAACCGGCCGTGATTGGGAGTCCCATAGGGCGGCGCACAATTGGCCCAGCGTCATCCGGGTTTGGCCGGTGTAGGCGTCAATGTAAATAAGAATTTGTTCTTAACTGACTTGCCTAGTTAAATAACGGTTTAAAAAATAGGCCTGCCTTTATTGTTACTATAGGCTACCACTAATTATAATATTAATGAGAATAATTACAGTAATGATAACAGAAATGAATATAGTGCAAATACATTTTTCGTCCCGAGCAGGCAGAAACCTCGCCTGGGCAGCACAGCCTCGCAGGGGTGGGACTGATGAACTCGAGATAGCGGGGAAGATGAGGAAACATTGGGGTCAAAAGTTTACCCGCTGAACAAGTCTCCTTCATCTGTTCAGCTGGGGCCTGATGCCAGCTTTATAATAGCGATCTTGACTCTCCACACAAAAGATAGAATAGCTTTGAATTACATATGTTTAACGGTGCACCTCAGGTGAACCCTGAAAGCGGGGTGACCCCGAGTTAGGGACCGAGGGGAGTGGACCCCGCCCGTCCCCAGACCCAAGATTGAGTGGTCGGCATTTTATTAGGGCGGTGGATTGGTGAATTTCCTTTGAATAAATTGCATTGGTTATGTTTAGGGACGAGGGCTAAATTAGCATTTTGAGGATTGATATTCTTACCTCGGTCACAGGGTGATGGGTAGGCTATGGCCACAGCCCCCCAAATGGAGCCCCCGGACTCCTTAAAAAACATTTAGCCTTTCTAAGCCTCTGCTAAGGAAAAAGTATTGTTTTTAGCCTTACAAAAAGTAATCCACAAGATGATTTTGGTTACAAAGAAGGAATATGTAAAAAAAAAAAAAAAGAACAAAAACACCGTTATAATTGTATTAGGTTTTGAAAATGCATTAGGCTTTAGGCTATAAAGCTTCTAAAGGCTTATGGATCTCCATAAAGAGATCGAATGTAGGCGTTCTCATTTCCCGTAAAACTCTGAGAATGTGAGATCAAACCTTATCTAATTCTACATGAAAATTGCTAACCCAATGTGCTTTCATGGGGATAGTTTTTCTGAAAATATGCACCTAGCCTATATTGTAATAGATACAATTGGTTTTCAAGACATGGCTAAATGTAGGCTAACATAGGCTATTTTCCTAAAAACGTCTAATGAAATTGTGAGATCCACCTTAGCCATGCTAGTAACAATTTATTCCCAAATGTTTCATTCATATTTCGTTTTGTTAAACAAACAAGTGGCCTATTATAAAATAGCCTAACAAATTGGTTATTTCTTTAAAAAGATTCAAGAGCTAAAGGAATAATATGGCTTATGGCACAATTCTAACAACTGTTTATTGAAGAACATTGAGTATATGTTCGGTCGTATCAGTTTAGAAGAAACGGGTTGGGCAAAATAGTATGCTATGATAACACAGACCTAACTAAGGCCTTGTTGTTCGAAACGTTTGTGTATCACTGAAATCTCCATAAAACACTCGCTTGATGCAGTTGCTTAACAAAATGTTCAAAGTAATATACTATCTCACCCACCCGTCTTCCTTTAAACGTGTGTTGAATGTGAAAGGAGCTCTGTTGGTGGCCTTCCTGTTTGCGCAAACATATCGATATATCGTTTCCTTCTTAAACAGAACTCACAATATGTTGCATGATCAAAATCGTTATATTTGCAACAATAATTTGCACCCTTACCTTTACTACCTAGTGAATGCTGAGGGAATATTTTCCTCTGCAGCCCGGTCCTCCTAACAGACAAGGGGCAAATGTGATCAGTCACTATCATCAGAGCACTTTTCTTACTATCTACATTTACAGTACAGTGTCAGTTTGATATATATATATATATATTCGTTATATGTGGGAAGGACCGAAGGAGTGGCAATACACTTCTTTCACACACAGTACTTTAGCAAATGAATAGAATAGTAGGCCTGATTAATTCTTATTTATAACTAGACTTTTTGCTCTTTTGCTAATTAACTTAGATGCCTTGGACGAGTTTAATTTAGAATAATTGTTACAGAAACGTTGCCATAACCTAAGCCACATTGCAAAAATAAGATTGGTACCAGGCAATTTATCATATTTCAGTATTTCCACTTAAAATCTTAAAACACTGAATGTGGTTGTTTAAGAAGCATATTTACGTCGTTGAAACAGTTTATTAGATCATCACGTTTGGCACTCACTTTTGAGAAGTGTCAACAACAAAAAACCTATGATTTCACCTAATTTTAACATTAGGTCATAAAAAGAACATGTTCAACTTCAGAATAAACACGTTTTCCCATCTCAAGATGTTAAATAAAAATGCCTAATAAATGTAAAAAGCCGTGTATAAAACACATTCAACTGTAGCTGTAAAGCATTACGGACTTAAGCCTGTCTCTCATTCAAGGGTAGGCTACTGTATGGCTAGAGAGTGGATAATAGCCAACCCTGCCCAAATTTATATAACACATATAGAACACGCTGACTGTACATTTCAAGTTTCAAGTTTAATTTGTCACATACACAAGTAAAGTGAAATGGTTAACTTGCTAGCCCTTCCCAACAGTGCAATATTCAATATCAAAATACTGAATGTAAGCTATATACAGGGTCAGTGCCTGTACCACAATTTCAATGTGCATGGATACTGAAGTAGTTGAGGTAGATATGTAGCCTACATGTAGCCAGGGATTAGGAGAAAGTGACTGGTAGCAGGATAAATAATAACAATAATAATAATAGTACACCATATGGCAGCAGCGTAAGTGGTGGGTGGGTGCGTGTTGTTGAATGTGTGAGTGTATGTGATTTAGATATCAATTCAAGTAGTCTTACCTTGGCTATTATGTTGATAGATAGGCTCTCAGGTGGTCTTGGCTACATGCGTTCTGGAGGCCAGATCTTCAGAATAAAATATCCGCCCTTGTCATTCACGATGAGTTACAGGTGCAGAATACACTAAATCGTAATATAACAACTGTCAACTTTGGCTATTTAGATGCGTAAAAAGCCATAGGCCTATATCTGACAAAAATACAAATCCCATAGCGATGGCTTTCGTTTCCGTCTTACACATACAAAGCTCGGAGCAGGACCTTGTTTGAACATGAAAAACAGGAGCCTAGGTGAGCAACAATAACATAAGCCTAACAGTATGATACAAATTGAATAAATATACATATTTATATCCTTCTAAATCAAACCTTGACGAGGAGACACTGAAACTTCCCTTCAGTTGGCTAACATTATGCTACAGGAGTGCCACAGTCGACGCAAGTCTTTTTAAGATGGACCTACGTGGGTTTTGTACTGTTTTTTAAATTATTATTATTTATGGGGCGCTGTTGGGTGCTCCGTTATCTCCCCAGAGTCGAGTAGACCCTGGAAAACCGAAGTCCAAGTCCAGGGTGAACTTCAGGTCACTGCGTCTAACAAATATTAAAATGTCGCCTCGTTGGAGAAGGGCACGCCTTGTTGTTTAACAAAGACTGTCAATGGGCAAGATTAATCAGAAACAAAATGGAAACGGTGTCACTTTGGGGTCAGAGAGAAGTTATCGCTGTTTAGGGGAGCGAATAGAAAGGGGGAGCGAAAAAAGAAAAAAGAAAGCTTTCAATAATTCCGAAGTTTGGCCTCCTCTTGCCACCGCGCACCGGGCCTTCCTCACGTCGACAGTCGCAGACACTTTCCATAGTGTTGCACGTGCAGTTGAGGAGGCTTCCTCGAGCAGTTGAGATTTTCACCTTGGCTTTGGAATAGTGAGATGGAGGGCAAGCAGGTCGTGGAGATGGCAGTTGACAAGACACTGATGGCACAGAAGAGATACGGTCAGGGATACTGCTATTATAAACTGTATATAATTGCACTTGTTTTTGTTTGTCATATTGTATACATTTTCAGGCGATGGCTTGAATCTTGATATTTTAGTTCTAGTTGTTTATTTCAGTTGTTTGGTATTGTACTTACTTAACTTATTAATAGTATACTATATTTATGTATTATTATTCTTACTATGCCCTACTTGTGTCTTATGTTGTAGGCCTAATCAATATCTGACATCCACCTCAATAGTTTAAAATGCTGCACAAATGATTACATTTTACATTTTAGTAATTTAGCAGACTTCAACTGCAACAAGTGATGAATGTTTTATGTTGGATCTTGGAGTAAAGTGAACAAGTTATTGTACAGTGAATGTACTATATTATACCGCAGGTTAGTTACAGTCAATCGCAGGCAGTTACTTCTAAAAAGGACTCGTATAGGCCTATCTTTGTGGTTACTGAAAAGTGCTTTGTAGGTAGACCGTGCGTCAGTAGATAGGCCAATGCATGTTGATCACTTTCTTTTGTTTTGAGTTTCAACACAAGTGTTAATTTCTCATCTACTAACATCATTGCAAATTCGCAACCCATTCCTTGGCCTTGTCAAAATCACTTGGCTTATTTGGGCCTGCTTTTAAAATGCCATCTTGATGAGCCAAATATAAACTATTAGATATTAAAATTTAAATGCAGAGTTTTCATAGGTTTAAATGACTGAATGTGAACCTCAGAGGCGCGTAACTGCGCACAGGCAATGTTTTATCTTTGCTTTGCTTTGGGGGTGAAATATTTGACTCTTCCTCGATTGTGCTTGCACTTAATCTGTCTCTCTCTAGTCCCCAGTTCACGATCAATATCAGTATTTTATATAAACAAGTTTCCATTTCATTTAGTTCATCACCATCAGTAAAATGTTACCATACAGATGCACTTTTTACGCACGGAATTACCAACTGAGAATTCACTAGAAAGGAAAGCATTTTTGGAAAGGAGTGGACTGGAAAGGCGCTCCAATGTCATCTTTGACAGAAAATAAGGCACTTACAGTTTGCTTATTTCCAAAGAGCCCATCCTTGTCCTGGGCAACAGTAAGAGATACCCAACATCATCATCATCATCAACATCATCAACATCATCATCATCTCCTCAAGGCCGTGGTCTACTGTGGGTTACTGATAAATAAAGGGTTGACTTACTCTAGTTTAGTTTAGTCTATGTGGTAAACAACTGCTTTGATTGTTTTTTTCTTTATCTATTTTGATTAAATAAGGAAAACACCAAGGTATGCTGGTCTGAGCCATTTTCGTTGTGCTAATGCCAGGCTTTCCATTGGTTCCTGTTTACATGATGCCCCCAGGAGACGCGGTGATTGGTGGCGGTTTACACGTGACCAGACAACTTTGTACATTTGACAGAGAGTAGGAGGGTTTTGTGGAGATCAGAAAAACGACAGAGCGATAAAAATTAGTATTGTTGCACTTCACAAATTAATGATCATGAGTTCATACTTGATAAACTCGAACTATATCGAACCTTCCTTTCCTCCATGCGACGAATATCAACAGAACGGATACATCCCCGCCCCTACTGAGTACTACGAACGGCCAAAAGATCCGGGCTTTCCCCATCACGACGAGGCGTCCTATCCGAGGTCAAACTACACAGAACCGAGCTACGACTACAGTAATGTCCCCAACAACGGTCTCGACGATTTCACCGACAGGCATCACGCACAGGCTCACCCCGTTGCCCAGAACCATGGCCCTCGCCTCAAACCAGTCCCAGACAGCGGTGCGGTGGCGGACGTCAGCAAAGACTGCAGCCTCGCCACTGAGTCTTATTCCAGCGCACAGAAGGGAAAGGAAGCGCCGGTGGTCTACCCCTGGATGAAGAAGGTCCATGTTGGTGAGTTATCGCCACGTTTCTATACCGAAACCACTGAGCAAGCCACCACTGGAACGTGTGCACGCCCATTGAGGCAGCACTAGTAGCACCCCTTACAACGGCAATTTACGACCATCGAGCAGCGGGGTCGGTAATTAAGAACCCTCATAAATTTTATTGCCTGTGTTTGTCTGCCGGGACCATGTGTCTATGTTGCCTTTTAACTAGAACTATACCTCCATGGCTGAACCACAGACAAACTGTAATATACAACCCTGCTGATTTTGTTAATAATTTTCGAAGGCTTGATTTGTCCCTGGATGGGAGCGCTTGTACACATGGCGTCTCCAAATTAAGGTCCTTCTATGCAATAGAAATGGAGGCGAAACCTCAACAAAACATCGTAGGCTTTATTCCCCCATTAGACTACCAACGAGTCTTTATGGAGAACAACATTTGTAATGTGTCCAGTGGAGAGGGTCAGTGTTTGGACTGTAGTGCTTCATGGGGCAGTAACAACTGCTTGCTTGTATGTGTGTGTGCTTGCTTTTCTTCAGTCAATTCTACTTACAATGGAGGAGGAGTGCCCAAGAGGTCTCGCACTGCCTACACCCGCCAGCAGGCTCTCGAGCTGGAAAAAGAATTCCACTTCAACCGCTACCTGACCCGACGCAGGCGCGTGGAGATCGCGCACACGATGTGCCTGACCGAACGTCAGGTGAAGATCTGGTTTCAGAACAGAAGGATGAAGTGGAAGAAAGATCATAAGCTGCCGAACACCAAGATCCGCTCCGCGAGCTCAGCCTCGTCCTTGGGAGCCCAGCAGCAGCAACAACAGCAAATCAAAACAGGCACGCACCAGCAGCTCGTTCCCACGCCTTGCGCCGCGAGCCTATAGTGATGGAACCCTCGCGCCAAACCAACAGACTGAGAATGGCAAACAGAACACAGAAACTGAATTTTGTGGCCCGATTCTCGAGTATGACCCCCATGGTATTACCCCATTCCCTTGGGCCTGTCGCGCCCTTTCAATACCATTTCCCCTCTCAACCTCCTCTTTCTGTTTGTTCACTCTCTCCTCATTTTTTAGCTCGAAATCCGCCACTTGCTGCCCAAGATGGCAACTGAAATGTATGTATTTGTTTATTAAAACAGAAGGATAACGCACACTCAAATGCACCACAGGACTTTGGATTATATGTATCATTGCATAGAATAAAAATAAAGAGAATGAGACGAGAGATACGTGAGGCCTCGTTTTTCTTTTTCTTCTATGCAATGTTTTTGTTTATTCTCATGGAAAGTTTTAATATACTTGAACGAAAGACGATGTTTTAGGAAAGCTCGAGAGCCCCGTCTGAGACCTATCACGAGGTTTAGAACGGGACAGGGTCAGAGTTAGGGTTTAGCTCGTGATGTGTGAATGAGTTGGTTTACTGTTGAATGTGTTATTAAGTCGTGTAATGTCCAGGTGACTTTCACTCCTAATGTACATAGACAAATCATAGCGAAGGCACAATACTGAATCAATTTTGTCGGCTAAAAAAAGACAACCTCGTTTGTTTGTTCGTGTAGTAGTGTAGACTCGTTTTATCTGTGATAGTGTGTCCCTATTTTGTGGTGTGATCTAAACTGTGAATATTTGTATATGTTGTTTGATTAATGGACGGTGTAATAATGTATTGTAATTTAGGCCCATGCAAGAAACTGTTCCCGTGAAATAAATATGTACTTCAATTATATGGCTGATATTGGTTTGCATATAATGTTATAAGATATTTCTGAATAATATGCATTGAGTTAGATCAAATTATTGAATGCTATGGTAACAATAGCATAGCTTGTCTATTGCGTAGGCCTATGTCAAAGGCCGCACAAAGGGTGTGGATGATTTAACAAGGCTCACAAACTCAATAAGCATAGTGCTTATTTCTTTAACGTGTATGACATAACAATACTTTTCATACAGTTTCTAATGACGTTACACTGTTCCCAACAGGGATTGAAGACTTTGAATGAGCTATCCAGTGCTTCGAATGTGCGTGCGTAATGGACGTTATAAGGAATACAATTCACCTAATTATGGAGAGCTGTGCTGGGTGTTGAATTTTGCTTTGTTTGTCCACTTTCGTTTTTTCTGGACAAAACAACTCAGACCAGTGATATTCCTATAGGCGACCCCTAAAACGTCAGTAAATATATACAAAAGCCCACACCTTGCAAGTTCACAGTCCTAAGACATTCAGTCAATGTAGTTTCACAGCCAAAGATGCACAATCATCCAGAAATATCGTTGTGCGTAAAGTGGGCATAAAACTCCAATAACATTTAATTTTTCAACCAGATGAATCTTTCTCAGTGAACTTTCAAATAACATTTTATTTTTCAACCAGATGCATCTTTCTCAGTGAACTTTCAAGAGTGCTATAAAACTGCTATTAAACTAAACAGCTTTATTTACGGGCCATGTTTCTCATTACATATACAGTTAACACAATAAAAAACTAAATTGTGTGTGCATATTTGTTGATAATCTGTAAACTACTACTATATGACAGTATTACAAAAGTATGAGAGTGTTGCAAATTGAAATAGTATATGACTTACTACCATAGTAATACATTTACCCCAAACTTTATGTAGCCCCATAGAGACCTATTATATTATAGCGAAGCATTTGGCCACACATCTGGCTACTACTGTTTTCATTTTTTATTATAAGGATAATGTGCATTTTCTTCTAAACAATCTAGAGGGTTCAACTAGAGGACACAACAGTATCTGACCAATCATCGACTAGCAGCACTCCGCTTGACCTCTGACCTTACGACACACAATGTCCAGACCTCCGTGGCTTATATATATATATAAAAGAGACCTAGTTGACCTCTCCAAAGGATCTACATTATTCTAGTAAATGAAACCCATTCTTATAATTATGGACTCTAACAATGAGTTCCGAGTGGATATGTTAACGAAATGAACAACCAGTTATTCAAGGCCATTATTATTGTTCTCCATAAGCAGCATTTTTAATCTTCGTATTTGACTTTAAAAGCACATGATCCATCTTTGATAGACAGAAGACAGAAGCCATGGCTACTTATTATATATAAGTAGGCCTGAGTGGAATGTTATAGCATATGCATAACAATCAGAGTATTTTCTTATCAAATGGCATTGGGCACAGCAGGAAAGAAATGCGTATTAGGGCTTCATCTTCGCAAACTCCATCTGAGCTTTAAGTGGATTCAAGTGCAATTCAATGTAATGCATTATGGAAACATTTTAAATTACACAGAATTATCTAGCCAAATTTTCTGTGCCAGCACTTGGTGCAGACGTGGAGTTGAGAAATTGGCATTTTGTTTGATTGGCACAGGTTTTACGCAGTCTCTCACGATGTCGAGATAGTTAAATTAGACATTTGAGTTAATTTAATACCCGAATAGAGGTCACCCCCAATGTACTAAAATGTTAATATGATAACTCACGTGACTTGTTCAATAATGAATGCCCTCGGGTCAGAAATAGATATGAAAATCGGCAGTATTTTCATTTGAAGTGATCCTCGGTGGAGCACGAATCAAATATTCCTCTCCGCTAAATTCTCACTCCTGTCCGTCCTTTCCCTGGTGGATAGAGCCCGTGTTGTCTGATTGTGAGTAGATTTGGACACTTTCTTTCCTAAATAACTTCTGTTTTTCATTTCTTTACATAGCAATATGTTAAAGGTTGAGATCATTGTAACTATCCAGGTCATTGATAATTTTGTGATTAATTTGTAACAGTGTATATTCAGCTGCTGCTTTGTTATAAGGCTTTCTTGCTCACCAGCATCAACCTCCTGTTAACCCGCAGCTCTGTGGGTTAGACTCCTCTGCTAGGAGACTGGTTCCTTGTGACCAAAATGCGTAAGCGTTACGGTCATGTAGCCATTTGAAAACTTTAAAACGATCAATTTCTAAATTGTTACCTGGAATCTGAATATTACTCATATGAAGATGTACTTTTTCCAATGATAATATACTATCTGAGGCAGTTATTGTGGTAGGATATGGCATTCAACTTGTGTTCAAGGAACACACCCTGGCGTTATATACAAGGTGCATCAGCATGTGGAAAAGCACAAACTTCTGTATAGCGTCTGTGCTTTTACATAATATTATATTTCTGGGCAAATCTACACTAAATTGACTCAAAAGGGAGAGGAGGGGGATACGGAATTGCAAGGTGGCAGCAACGATGAGAGAACTTCTATAAAACTGAACATTTCATTTATAAAATATGAACTGATACCCCGTTGTTATAGGACTGCTGCGATTGACAAAGAGGTGCAGTGAGACTTCTTGTGTGCTCCTGACCTGTGGCTTACATTCAGAAATGCCACTTCGTTAATTGAGCATGAATAAGGTAGGCCTAATTGAAAATAATTGTATATTGGCATTGGACATAAGTGATCACAAGATACCTTACCTCAGAGCAACCCAATGACCCTGAGCAAGGAAGAGATTCCATGTTTTTTGCACACTCAACATACTGTCACATTTGTCTCTGATGGGATACATAAAGTTGTATTGACATGAATTGAAAGGATTGTCAGATTTTGGTAAAACAATGCATTCATGTTGAAGTAGTGTAGTAGTAATTTACGTTTTATTCAGTTTTCATTAGGTAAAGATAACTGTTTTCAAAGTATTTTGTACCAATTTATGTGCATGTTAACCCATGCCTCGTCTTGTGAGCCACACATGCAAAGTTTTAGAGGGCAAATATCAGGCTATTGTGCATGAATGAGTTATCCACATTGCCGAATGGGCGCCTCAAACAGAGAAGGCACAAAGAACAATCAAGAACTCAGTTAAACATTAACAGATTACCATCCTCTCCACGAAAGACTGACTTTAGGCTATAAGGCTGTTATTGAACATTAATGTAGCATACAATATAAAAATGTGTAATAATGATAAGTCTATAAATATGTTCAAAATGGCTTTGAGCGGTTGTGTCTTAGTTTCAGTTTAGCTTCCCAGAGGCTAGTTGAATTAAATGTGCCATTCATAATGTGTAGGCCTATTATTATTGTTATCATTATTATTGCTATTATTATTATTATTATTATTATTTTACAGCATTATTATTGCTCTGAGGTCAAATTAGGAAGTTTAGTCTTGTTATTACCCTATAATGTTTATAATCAGCTCTTCAATGCACTAAATATAACATTAACCTATCAAAAGTGGCAATTGAAATACATTAAAAAGTATTACAACAAAATTTCAACATTAATACCACTACTGTTTTATTTCTACAATATATACTGAAACAAACCAGCAGAACAGAAGTCAGTCCGTGTAGTCGTGTATAGCGAAATCCACCGAGGCTTCTCTGTTTTAGCATGGACGCCAAGCCAGTTTAAGGCGTTGAATTTCGCATTAGCCTTGATGTTGGTCAATGTAAACCACCGAGAAAGAGTTATCTTCGGCTGAGTGTATCGGTGACCAAAGGCTCGCTGTTAAGAGCTTCAAATGTCAACATTGTGGGGAGATATGTAGCCTATAGCCACCGCCGTCTGGCGAACACCCAAAGACAGAGGGTGTGGAGAGGTCTACGGCTCAAGTCCTCTTGGTGGCCGGGGAATGTTGGGAGTTTGATATATCTGAACAACTAACTCAGAAAAAGTATAAACAAAGAAGCTAACCAAATGCTATAATAGGCTAATCATCTTGTGTGGTTTTTATTCTTAATTGTATTTAGTATTATATTTTATATTATTGTCTATATTATTATCACTGCATTATTGGAACGAACTCTCAAGGCAAGAATTTCACTGTACTGTTTTACACCTGTTGTATTCTGTGCAGTGGCGAATAAACCTTTAAACTTGAAACTGCTGAAAACAACAAGCGCCCCTCCCAAAAAGTATCCAAAACTTTCCCAGCTGAAAACGGAGGTTTAGCTATGTTCTTAATTGGTTTTATAGTCTCCATCCTCTCCTTGTTTTTGACCCCAAATAACTTCACACTCGACTCTCCGGGCCTCGACTTGGGTCAGGAAAAAGTTCAGGTGCGGTGGCGAAACGCGGCGTGGGAGAGAGGGTCTGTTTTCTGTCCACCGTCAGCTCGAGCCACAGACCCTCTCCGGCATTGCCATGCACGTGCACTCGGCGCTGGTGGAGTGGTATGCAAACCTGGCCGAACTAGAAGAACAGAGAAATACATCAATCAAATTTCTGTATCACCAAAATGTATCCCAAAGTAAAGGCCTTACTCTAAAAATGAGTTTAAATGACTTCACCTCTTCACAAAAACAAGAAAAATAATTTATGCTAATCAAATCTGATTCACCCATAATTATAACCCAACATAAATCATAAAATCAGAACCTCCTCACTCCAAATCTTCCACAAAGTGGTCTGAAAGGTAAATTGATAAGAGATGGTCCACTCCTGCTCGGAGTTTTTAAAGTTTAAACGGCTCAAGTTGTAGTTTGAGAAGACAAAGGGTGCTGTGGTGTGGGAGTGGGATGCGGTCCATGTCCGCTTGACGTGATTAATAGTTATGGTGGAACATTTCCACACCCGCTGCTCAGTGTTGACAGAAAACAAGCGCCAAACGGCGCCGAGAGAAGGGCTGCTCTTCCGGACAAGGTTAAACGATACAACGAAGTGGGCCACCATACCGTTCATAACTTAAGTTGTGGGTCTATTAGGCATTGCAGTAGAATATACATTTATTTCAAAGATAATTATTGTCGTTTACCCTCATCTCATAAGTTTTCATGGGAACATGAAGAGTAGGCTAGTTGCCATATTACCACCTGATCCTTTCCCCTCCCCATACTGGGATTTGAGTATGCCCTCTGCGCAAAACTATAATTTCCAGCATCACTTAACTGGCTGTAGGAAATGCGTAAGAGTTGCAGGTTGAATGGAGGGTCGATGCACTGACCAGGGAGGTAAAGAACCAGCTCATTGCGCTCCCTCATGCACCCTCTCCTCTCCGCTCAGATCAGCACTGACTGACTAACTGACACTCACACTCACCGCTACCGGGACGCACACCTTTACACAGCGTTCGGAGAGGTAACTATGAGATATTTGATTTCGATTCGGCCGCCAGCATGTAGGCTATTGACTGAGTGAGTGAGTGGGTGAGTGATTGGTTGTATAGCTCGGGGATGTGGGGTGATGTATAGTGGAGTGGGGGTGATATTGAGTGCCTCTGCACACTCTGCACACAATAGCCCCAGACATATCTCTCTATAAAAAAGTAGGGGGTGACTCGGGTGTTGAGTGAGCAATCCGCCACCCATAAGGGGCTTCCTTGAGGAAAAGCCCTCTCACTATCTCACATAGTGAGAATTGTCACACCGCAGCACCAAACACATCCCTTGCTCTTCCCGTGGCTCAAGGCTAATAAGCCTAGCATCACAGTATTTTACATCGGGATTAGCGATCTCTGATTACGTTAATAGGCACTAAATATAGGAACCTCCAAAACTGACAGAACACACACGCCTCGGAATCAGGCGAGTTGTGTGGAAGTAGAGAGGCACTGCGAGAGGCACTGCGAGAGACCTGTCCCAACGCCAGATACATTGCAGTATCATGTACCCCTCTTTTTCCTCCCTCCAAAGTGATCCGTTTCTCCTCAGGGGCAATGACTGCCTCCATTAATGATTCACGGGCTCAAATAAAAGGGATTTTTAAGTTGACGTGGTGTCACGTGAGCAGGACGCATAATACGGCGCGGTGTTATGGCACGGGGAGAAAACCGGAGCCCCGGTCTGGCCATGCGTTGCTGATTACGCACATCCCCCACTTTCCGTGAGTTTAGTCGGGGCTTTGTAGACTTTTGCCGAGGAGAGAAAGAAAGAGGGAGAGAGAAAGAGAGCGACAGGGAGAGAGAGAGGTTCTTGCTTTTTGTGGATGGTATTATACTGCTGTCACGGACGGATATGTTTTTCCTCGCGGACAGAGTCAGAGTTTGTGCTTGGGGATGATGGATTTTATTTTGAGGTATTTCCGCCGATTGTTCATTACTATCGTGAGTTATTGCCGCGCGAGGCAGAGGTCAGTAAGCCGAAAAGACTCAATGGTTTTGCCTGGCTGGAAAAGTAAAACTCGATCATTTTTAAAGAGTATAGATTTTCAAGTTGTTGGAGATATCGTCGATTTTCAGTGCCAGGCTACTAAAATGAATTAGGCTACATGAAACATAACTTCAATTATATTTGCTTCACTATCCTGTGTGAATATTTTAGTTGGCTTCAAAGTCCACACAACAATTCCCCATCCCATGGTCTAGCCTTACTCCATTGGTGTTATATATCACAATAAAATAATATATTTTTTTAATTTTTAATTTTCAGTTTCATTTTGATCAGAATCCTAGCTCAGAATAGTACAGACACTCAATTGTTTAGCTAGAAAACCGTATGCAGTTTATGCAGCCATAGCCACATCAGATGTGCAGTTGGCCTAGATAGCTGTTTGTATATAAACCCAGCCATTTAAACGTCTGTTGGTAAGAAAATAACAACAACAAAAACAGAGGTGAATGCAGTCATGACGTCCTGCTCTGAGGTGTAATTCCTTTCCCTATAAAATACATACATTTGTGGTGTTAAACATGGGTTTTCTCGGGAAAGGATACATCAAGTTGAGGTACATAAAAAGTAAAGAAAAGCTTTGGGGTTGTGCGGCTCTGCCAGGGAAACGAGGATATAATGGTAGACCGAGTGTCATATAGGACCGCGCGGCCGCGCTGAGGTCACCGCGCTCGCGTGTGATTTATGGGCGCGGGGACTTGGGGCAGCCATTGCGCGAGCGCTAATGACTACTCGATCCAATTCCAATGGTGGAGAAAAATACACACAAAAACAGAAAAGCTACAGCAATTATAGTGCAAGCTACTTTTTGTTTTCTTGATAGTTTAGTTTTTGTAATTGTATAAGATAACGTTAATGTTGAAAAATACATGTGATTGTTTTGAAATGTATTATTTTTATTACTAGCAATAATTTGCTTAATAAGACAAAAAAGTCATATTGATATTTATAATAATGTGGATAATAAGTCTAACTTAAAGAATATTCACTAACTTTGTTGCACAACGAACAAATAGGATTACAATATGATACAATATTTACATTTGGACACACAGCAAGATAGGCCATATTAAAATTATTTAAACTACTGGGCTATAGCCTATTATCGTAATTTGGTGAATTTGCTTGACTGGTTTAGGCTGCTAATGTTGAATTAATTTATTGTTCAAAAGTAATTAGTCTAATGCAAATATTGTTAGGCTACTTGGCGTTTTCATTAGGCCTAGCCTACTCTCTTCTGGAAATATGGTTTTAGGCTACTCCTATATTATGCACATTGTTCTTATTGATATGAATTTCGCATTTAAATGTTAGGTGGAATATTGGACCTATATGTTTATTAGGGAAAAAACAGGTTGGCTAAAGTAACGTTCATTTTACATTTTCTTTCAGAATTCTGCCTAAATAAATCCCATCCATCCTACGGTCTTCACGAGACCCTGCCCTGCCTTTGGTAAGTCCATATTATGTCCTTATCGATTTCTGTTAGAAATGCTTGATGGTCATATCCTTATTCAATTCTAATAAGTAGCACAGAGACGCCTACTCCAGCACATTCACACACAGGCTTGTACACACACATCCATAGCCTGTACACTTCCTATATAGCTTATAGTGGTGATATGAAACGCATGAGAGCAATAATTCGTTCTCTTCCACATGTTTTTTGTAGTGTAATTTGTTACTATAAAAACGACGGGGGGAATCGCAGCTCTTGGAGCGATGCCTTGTTCCATTCAAAAATCCCTCTATCTGAAAACCATCTGCCTTGGCGTAGGCTGTAGATTACACTTGCTATAAATTGGCACAATGTTACTCCCCAAAAGTAGTTTTTGGGTGGTTTGTATTCGTCCTTTTTGTATTAATATCAATCCGCCTTCTGTTCCCACTATCTCCATGACATCTAACCCAGTAGTTAGGACCCAAATTAAGGAAAATCATGACTCAGCATTTCGAGAAAAAACACAAAGCAGTAAATAATTATACCAAGTCACTATTCTGCTTTGAAAAAAGAAAGGCAACGTTGCTAAAAAATATCCTCACGCATGAATTTTGGTCCCACTCACCCTCCCACGCCGTCTGAATGTTCTACCTTTTTATTGTGTGGCTGAATCTGTCCTTCCATCCATCCACCATGCGGCCTCAGACGACCAGAGAAGCAGTGCTCTAGACGTGTTTAGTGCCTTGAGATGCAAGAGGACATAAATCGTTTTGCTTTGTCCGCAAACGACACCATTCACATGCATAGGGTTCCCCCATGCTCTCGGTTTCTCTCTCCCCCGTTTCTCTTGTCTCCCGCCTCTGTTTTCCCTTTTGGAGGTGTACTTTCTTTTGATTTTCTAACCCAGAGCCCGATGGGGGTCTTTCCCTTGGTTCATCCCAACCAAGGCTTTGATCCGCGGCGTCCCCAGTTCATAAACGCATAATTTATATATTTTCTAACCATTCAGGAAACAGACATATTCGATCCTAGGAATTTAGAAATTAGTCGAATATTGCAAAAAAAACAACAACAACCAAATTCTAGGAATGTAGAAATTAGTCGAATATTGCAACAACAACAAGAAAACAAATTCCCAGCACAATTCGTAAATGAAAGGCTTGATAGGCTACATAAAATGCAAAAGTGTTGGTTAATGATTAAGCTGTGGATGGACGCGCTTTATCCCTCTCATAGTAATGGTAATGTTCCGTTGTCATCATCTGCTGTGCTGCGTAAAGCTGTGTACTCTCCCATCATTTCATCCAGTCATTCTTCGATTCTGTGTTGAATAAATAACAACAAATGCCATAAAACACTTAAGGGATGGGTGTTCATGGTTTTTGTAATGGATATTTTGACTTTTTTTTTTTACCATACTACTTCATCGCGTGGGGGAGGAGAGCCACACGATTTGAAGTGACTTTCTGTGTCCAAGGCACTAGTTCATTTGCATAATTTTTCTTGTCTATGGTGACGCTATGTTTCGGGGGAGTTCACTGTTCTGGTGATGTCTTCATGGTACTTGTGCCCAAAAACATAGTTCATAGCCCTGGCTAGGTTTAATATTGGTATAAGACATGGGCACTGCTCTAGCATGTGATAAGTTCAACCGGGAGGGCCGATAGCGCTTATCTGGGCGACCCGAGTGCTCGCGCCTGCTTTCATTATCTCGGTTTACCCTTCAAACATCGAACAAAAAAAAAGGGATTTTGTTTCTTCTACACACAGAGCCACTCGCCCCATCCCTTTTTTGTTGTGGCCGATGAGTCCTGTATGAGCTAGGCGCAAGTTGGTGCTGCTGCTTATACCCCAGCTCGCTCTGCCTAAACTTTTTCTCCGGACTACTGTTTTGATCGATTTCGTCGCTGAATGAGAACATATTGCCTTGTGCTTTGCATTCATTGTCAGAGGATAAGGTAAGCGGGCCAGAAATAGTATCTCTCTCGGTTGTAAATGGCGGAGTTTGTGTCGCGCGGTGATTTATCACCGTATGACTTACATCTCGGTTCAGGAAGAGTTCACACACAACACAGGCAGACAGATTTCTCTCTCGCGCGGAGCGGGGGGCTGAGTATTCGAAGGTTCGAACCTGTCTTCTCTTTTCTGCCATGTTTTTCTTTTTTCTATCAGACTACTATTGATTTGGAAATTCATCAAAAAGCTTTCTGATATGTATTCCAAAGCATGGCTTTCATAGCAGATGTGGTGATGGGATGTGATATTCATTTTAATTCTGCGGTGTGTTGAGGTCAAGAGGGTCTGGTTTTCAGACAGTTTTTGTTTGTCGTAGTGTATTGTGCTATAACGAGCCGTAGTTAACAAATTATCTATGTTCTGTTATTTTAAAATTTCTTAGGTGATCTTATATGAAGATCATGGTCATTTTTAATATTGACATGATTGATTTATTATAGTATCACTAGGCGTAATATTACTATTGCCCAAGTTAGCTGTATATTGTACTAAAATAGTAGTAATATATTTATTTCTAATACAAATAAAATTAATATAAATCATTATCACAAACCTTCTCCACTTGTTGGCTATCACCACTTTATCATGGTGGTATGTCTTTTGCACTGATTTAACTAGGCTACACAATAGGATGTTCATGTTTTCATTTAGGATTCTACAATAGCCTACATTAACCTGCCTCATATTTCTTTAGCTAGGAAACTAGTTTCACATTTGAAATAGTTTGTGAAAGGATACTGCTGCATCGAATAACTCGTTTATTATTAATTATTCACATAATTCCCATTAGCAGGTGTGACAATAGCTTTAGCTTATTGTTCCTACTTGATCTAAACTACAACGCTTCACACATTAAGCCTAAAACCATTCTAAGGAAAACCCAACTATTTTATTTTTTAAAACGTGTGTGTTGTACCCATTTGCCCTCATCAAATATATATATATATATATATATATATAAAGACCTATAATTTCAATTGGATAGTTTTTCAATAACTTCTCAATGGATATGACCCCAGTTTTCCTACCTCAGTGAGTAGACTACTAGCAGTAGTTGAGCATTCCTACTCATTGGATCCACAATAGGTACTTCCTAGCCTAGTAGTACGCCTATAGTTCTAGGCTACATGCCGGATTTCTGTCTTCCTGAATACCGAGCCATAGCCTAGCTGTTCACTGAGCCGCTGTCTGCATTGCGCCGTCCCGCCCTTGCCTACTGACCCCCATATATCACCCGACTTCGCCGACAGCACCGACAGGAGCCTTTATTATAGGCCTGCGAGGGAAAGTTCACGTCGTGGTCATGGAGATGCGGTTTTACAGGTTTCCTCCTGGCCCTCATCCATCTTGGTTCCACACAAACATGCAGCAAAAACTGGGGAATGTGGTTGTTTATGCTTTTAGCCAGGTGGCTGGGTTGTGGTAGAGACTACAGCACACTGCTGGCCCGCTCTGGGGAGAGAAAGCATTTGACTAATAACCTGAAACGATCCAGGCCTATTCCAACGATTTTGGGGGATTTTAAGTGTATTTTATCTTGTTCATTACATGTTATATTAATAATAATAATAATAATAATAGTAATAATAATTATGCCTACCTAAAAATAACCCATTCAAAGTAAGTCATAGGCCCAGTTCCCGACAGGCCTTTCGTTTGGTGGTTTACAATTAATCTGTGAAACTACTTTTTTTCTCATTTCATTTTGGCACCAATATTAATATTGCACAATTGGTATGCTTTTATAAACGCATTTATTTTGATTCAGTTAAGTGCAGATGAGGTTTGTGCATGCCTTTGTTCCCTGTGTTGTTAACCAGAAGGTAAACGATAACAGCCAGAGAACTGTTGCCCCTATCTTGCCTCCATAGTATCTGGTGTCAGCCCTTTATTGAAAAGTAAGATGGATCGCCACCATTTCTTCTCCTCACCGTGCTTCTTGTAACCCTAGGTTCACCCGAGGAGGCCATTGGCGAAGAGGTGTCACGTGACCAAGGGGTGCCAATGTTATTCAACAAGGGTGTCAAGACCCTGTCAGTTTCTGAAATAAATATTGGGAAACGGCGAGATGCAGAAGGCAACCTACTACGACAGCTCCGCAATTTACAGTGGCTACCCGTATCAAAGCGCAAATGGCTTCAGTTATGATGCCAATCAGGTCCAATATCCCCGGGCCTCTCATGTGGAAAGTGAGTACCATCGACCCGCCTGCTCCTTGCAGTCCCCAGACGGCTTGGTCGCCCTGCAGAAGCCGGGGGAGATGGCGGAGAACTGCGATAGGGGTACGGCCATCCAGGCAGCGCAGCCACCCGTCCTCACCGAAAGCAATCAACCGCAGATGTCGGTGGCTGTCCCACCACCCCCTCCCCAGTCACAGTCCCCCGGTTCTCACAACCAGAACACGAGCAACGGCTCCTGTCAACCCAACTCAAAGAGCTCGGTGCACGGCTCGCCGAACACCACCCGGAAGCACATCTTCCCCTGGATGAAAGAGTCCCGTCAGAACCAGAAGCCTAAAACCAGTAGCTCCAGCTCAGGTATATGACCTAGACGCCACTTCTGAGGAAACACGTGATAAAATACAACCCATTGTTCATGCGTAAACATGTGGTTCTGTGACCCATTACTGATACATGATACAGTTAGCCTACATACATGCCCCCCCAAGTCACCAATTATGTATATATTTTTATCAGATGAACCAACCAAGGTACAATATGTTTGATTATTTCCCTACTTTGCATACATTCATATTCTCAAACTTTTCCCTCACAATTGAACAAACAATAGTTAACCATTATGATGTGTGGCTTATTATCTATTATGCAAGCCTACTCAGAGCCATGTATTTAGAGAGTTGGGCCAATGCGGATTCTGCATCATGACACTTCAACATTCTCTGGCAGCCATGTTAGCTCGCCATTAACATAACATGGAGAATATTTAAACAATGCTATGTAACTGTATGTCAAGAATTAGAACTATATTCAAAATTCAAAAGTTGGCCTAACTCTCTAAATGTATTGCTCGGGCCTACTCCATCGTGATATTCCTTATTTTCTAGTATGATCTAGGCCTAAGGTTCGGGGCAAGGAGACCCACAGCTCCGCTAAAACCATTGACAACAAGCATAGTCAGACCTAAACATTTCCAATTATTCCATGCAAAAAATTCATCAGAGTTATACATCAAGTAACTGCATGCTTTTCATGATCAGTAAACAACAAGCCTCATGATGTCTCTCAGTATTGGCCACCACTAATTTGATATTTGAGTGATATAAAATAAAAGTGAACTATACCTGACAAGTATGAGTGGTTTAGGTTAATTTACCATATTTTGTGCGCTCTGCCTATCAAGCAGCAGAAGTGCGCATTTTGCCGTGGTACTGTCAGCTTATAATGTTAATTTAGCAAGCTACGGGTAGAAACTTTGTACAGTTGGCTAAACATATAGTGAGTGGTAAGTAGACCTAATGTATGCTACTTTTTTCTCCAAACAATGTAGGCCTACCTAGCGAAGTTATCTAACATGATCCCCTTTTCAACATTGTTTTTAAGAGTGTTTAATTACAATTGCTGCTGACAGACATGATATAGGCTACATTGATTGATGGACCACGTCAAATTGGCTAGCTAGCTAATAATAGATTATGGCAATATGGCAAACTAGTTAACAAGCTAAATGTGCGCAATAATATGAAATGTGTAGTTATGACTATGCTCAATAGTTGATGACATTAAAACCAAATAGTTATAAAGTGTATTTAACAATCCTTTGGGAACTGCACGTAGTTGTCAATGGTTTTAGCGGAGCTGGCACCTACTTGCCCGCCAGAAGCCAAATCGAACGTATTGTGACGTTCTATTGAAAATGACCTATTACGTATAATACCCCTATTACGCATACACTCTTGTGATGTCAATATGGTTATTCTAATGCATTCCTTATGATGTAGACTTATTAGGTATACATTTTACACATTTAGCAGACGCTCTTATCCAGAGCGATTTACAGGAGCAATTAGGGTTAAGTGCCTTGCTTAAGGGAAAATCGACAGATTTTTCACCTAGTCGGCTCGGGGATTAGAACCAGCGACCTTTCAGTTACTGGCACAACGCTCTTACCCAATAAGCTACCCGCCGCCCCAGATACACTCCTGTGATGTCAATATGGTTCTTCTATTATTATGCATTCCTTATGATCTATTATGATGTATGCCTGTTCATGAAGAATACTCCATTGTGGTGCATTCCTCTTAGTTTTAGGCCTAGCTCCACCATTTGTTGTCCATATGCTCTATCGTTGACTTGCTGCTAGAATAAACATAATATATTGGCCCTGATCACACAACATTCCATGCAGGACAACAAACAAACATACAAAAACAGTTGTTCCAATTTGTTCTCTTTGTTATGATTAGAGGAAAAGCTAGGAGACTTGGGGGAGGAAGTTGTTTACCAACGATGTAACCCAAAGTTGAAAGATGCTTAAATTCCCATGGCCTTACCAAATCGTGTTGTCTCCATAGGCTAGTAGGTCTATTTGTGTCCACCTTTTGGGAATACATTTGGTCAGAAGTGAATAAGTAGGGTTTCCAGGCATCTAGAAGGTCTGCTGAATCCCATTTATCATGAGTCTGTCAAGATGTCTGCCAAATGGATGCCAAGGGGACTATTTCAAACCTTAGCCTAAATCTTGGGATTTAAAATCTTCTATTAGGCTTACCCCACTGGGTAAAAACTGGTTGAATCAACGTTTTCCACGTAATTTCAACAAAAACATTCTATGTGATGACATTGAATCAACTTGGAAAACTGATTGGATTTGCAAAAAGTCATAAATGTAAGGGAATTTTGTATTTTTTTCACCCAACTTTTAACCTAAATCCAATGACATGGTGAAATTGTTTTGGGTTTTACGTTTAATTCACAGTTGATTTTCCACCAAATGTAAATCAAAACTAGTCTTTGAAATGAGTCAGTGGGACTGCTTTTTGACATATTTTACGCACATGTTGGCTAATTTGTACACACACACATGCCAATAATTCCAATCACAGATCCCTCAAAAGTACCTAACCAATGAAACAAGATCATTTATTATTATTATTATTTGGATTATAGCCCGATTATAGCATTTTTCGGAAAGCAGCAGTATTAGTAGCCTAGTTTCTGAAACAGAGATGGTGAAAATATTCATCTCCCCATTTCTAAAAAGAGCTAACTCATAACATGATGCCATGCTGCATTCCTCACGCCCAGCTTCTGGCTGTACAGTAGCTAGTAGCAATATTTATTAGGTGTTGGCAGCCTGCCACAAACGGTAACTAGACCAACACCTTGCTGTGCAGCGGCAGAGCCCCAGCCATTCAGCATGGTGAGACTCATAGGAGATGGCAAGGCGAGCTTTAGCTCATGCGCAGTGAGGAATACAGATATGATTGTTATTGCACATGCATGTACTATGAGGGTAAAAAAGCTCCAGTGGGAAATAGGAGGTAGTATAACACACACACACACATACACACACACACACACACAATTATAACCACTTTGATTTGGCTTTCACGTAAAGCATAGCTAACAGTTGAGAGTTGTCCTACATGTATACAGTCATAGTTAATGATATGTCTGATATAATTGCATTAGTAACATCCACAGTCTAGTTGTGGACATCTCTGATTTGTCTGCATTTGTAGAACTCTTATTGATATGTGTATTTGAGTCGGGTTCATGTGGAGAGACGTGTGTTATCAGCTATATGTATCTTGTCACTCGGTGTCTTGTTCTTGTGCTTGCTGCTGGGGTTGGTTACTGATTGACTGTCTTCCTTTTCCTCTTCCGCCAGTTGAGAGTTGCCCTGGAGACAAGAGCCCCCCGGGCGGGTCTGCCGCGTCGAAGAGAGCCCGGACGGCTTATACCAGCGCACAACTGGTGGAACTGGAGAAGGAGTTCCACTTCAACCGTTACCTTTGTAGACCCCGCAGGGTCGAGATGGCCAACCTGCTCAACCTCACAGAGAGGCAGATTAAGATCTGGTTCCAGAACCGCAGGATGAAGTACAAAAAGGACCAGAAAGGGTGCGGCATGATGCCCTCTCCCGGGGGACAGTCCCCTCGGAGCCCCCTCGGTCCATCTCCTGGTGTTGGGGGTGGAGGATACCTAAACTCTATGCATTCTCTGGTTAACAGTGTCCCCTATGAGTCCCAGTCGCCAACGTCTTACAATAAGCCCCCTCATAATGCATACGGTATGCCCACGTCATATCCCCCTCCCTTGAACAGCTCCCTAAACAACTGCCCGCCCTCTCAGAAGAGGTATCCCGGGACTGTCGGCTCGGCTACGCCCGAGTATGACGCGCATCCTCTCCAAAGCAATGGCGGCTATGGGACGCACTTGCAGCAGGGAAGCCCTGTATATGTAGGCGGAGGTTACATCGATTCGATGCCCAACAACAGGGCCTCCGTTTTTGGCCTGACCCATCTCTCGCACCCGCCGTCCACAAACATGGACTACAATGGAGCAATCACTATGGGCAATAGTCACCATCACAGAGTATGTGATCCAAATCAGACGTACACAGACCTTAATACGCCGCACTACTCTCAGGGAAGAATTCAGGAAGCGCCCAAACTGACGCATCTGTAGCCGGGTTGCACCCTGGATCACTCCGCCCCATTGTCTTACCTCTCGAACCACCATCGCTTTGTTTCTTCTCTTCTTCAGTAGCTTTTCCCACCTTCTCTTTGTTCTAGGTTATATTTGTTATTTTTTATATAGTTTAATGTGTGAAGTAGCATAGGAAAGTAATCACTCTTGCTTGAAATGTTCTCTCTATTTGCTATAGTGTTATTGTTCCACACAGACCTATTATCTGAGACGACAAGCGCGGGGGCACATACGCATAGACCTATTTAATCTTTAACTTGTTTCTAAAAACAAATCAAACAGGGTATATAAACAAATCTTATGGTATTATTTTAATGTGAATGTGTTAGTTTTTTGGTATTTATCAGCAGTTGAAGATTTGTTTTGTGTTATTGTTTTGCATTTTGTTGCACTTGTGGAAGGATCCTTAAAAAAAGGGAGGTCTGGAAGCTCCAGCCTACGACCTAACCAGCTTGTGTTCTGTTGGACTTTCAAAATGTTATTTATTTATATGACGACGTTATATGGAGTTCTTTAGTATTATTTGAACCCCCTGTGCTCTTTGTATTTGGAGGCTATTGGAACCAGACCTAGGTTCTGGTTCTACCGCTTACCTGACATCAGACAGACGACAGCGAGACAGACCCTCAGCAGCACACTGATATGTTGGTGTAATTTTTTTATTCTTCGAGGAGGTATTTTATTTCTCTACGAATGCAAATCAAGCAATCATATGCTTGGAAGGACGGACATATATTAGATGTTTCTTTATTGAACAAATATTCTAGATATCACCAAGTTTCTGTTTCAATGTCATACATTCCATGCTGCTCCAGTTCGAATAAAGAAATAAATGAATTGAAATATAAATTGTATCTTTCAACCTGAATTTCGAGGGTATTTAAACATATAACTTAATGGCACAAACTACAATAATTAAGCAATAATAATAGGCCTAATAATAATAATAATAAACATCTTATTATCCCATAAATTATTTGTGAGGAGGTATTTGTGAGGAGGAAAAAACTGGTAGGACTTTAGAGGGCATGCTATTTCATCAAAAAAATGTAATCCCCATTATCTCAGAATCAATAATACCTATAGTAATTTATAACATAATTGTTTATTTGATAGTGACAATAAATCCCGAAAACATTGTACAAAGTCCTCTCGTTTTGTCTCCTTTAGCACGTGGGCACATCAGAAGATCTCGCGGTGGCCTTGTTCCAGAGCCTCCTCCGCATGGGCGCATCCATAATAATAAAAGTGTCACGAGGAGCTTCTGCAGTATCTGTTAGGATAAAATAGGTTAAATGAGAAATCGTTAAGGGAAAAAAGTTTGCTGATAGGCCTATATTCAATCAATCAATTTTAGGCCCCATATTTCACATTTATTATGGCGCTATAGGATGCATAACATGCACTGTTAAGCTCATAATTATAGTTATTTACACATGTAAATGAGACTAAATGAATGGATATGTAATACAGGACATATTAAATATTTGAGTCATAGGTTATCTGATGCAGCTAAAGGCGTATATGGGCCCGGATTCGCTGCACACAATAACAATTACAAGCGTTTAAAAGCAACAAAAAGTCATCGACATATTTTCAGCTGTTATTATTGTGCAATGGTGTAAAATAAGTATGAAAATTATAACTTGTGTATGTCTCTCTTAAGACACATTTTTGGGAATGTGTACTACAGTTTCCTTTGTTGTGGCAGGCCCAAATTCAATTCACACAAAGAACCGTCTTACATAGCATAAAACGTATATCCTCTTTAATTACTTTGACTACATTCAAGTTTTTATTTTCAAATATAATTCAGTGAGCATATTGATGAAATATAGGTCAGTATAAGCCAATAATGGAGAACACAAATCAACATTCAATGCCATGCATTGTGCATTCAGAATTTCACAACCAGTAATTGAAGAAACAATTATTAGTGGAGTAAATTGATAGTTATCCCCTTCTAAATGCATTTCAGGATTATTTAAATGTTTTATAAAATCTGTAGTCGAATTTGTTTCCTTTACAATGTCGACAAAATGACGTATTACAGGGCAGGCACTCTATTACTGATCCTGACATATGGTTAGCAGGGGAACCTAGAACAATTGAACCACGGTCTGTCAGCAGACTGAGCAACTCTGGATCCAAAACACACACACACACACACACACACATTGATTTGACCCATATGTAGGAGATTTTAACGCAGCATAAATAAGGGATTGGGTTGAAATAAGAAATTGTCGTTCATTGTATTTCCATCCGTGGGAAAGGTGTCCTAAGTCATTCACCCAGAATCCCCCTGTAAAAAAATGTGTAGGTCTGAGTAGGGTTTACAGAAAGCAGCCACCCACTCATTGCCTCGCACACAAAGCCTATGCGTAATTACAAAAAGCCATCCGTCTACTCCTCAGGCCCGTCCTTTACCACAGACTTTCCTCACCTCCAACAAACCCAACTGTTTGCTCCAACGAAAAATAATGACGTTTGGTAAATACGCCACAAAAAAAATCCAGAAAGAAAATGCAATGGCGATGTTGGTTTAGCCTACTCACCATTTACGCGCATTTGCCCTTCTGCAAAATGTTCCTTCTATTTTAAATGTCTTACAACATCCCTTAAGCGACAGAAAATATGTGACAGCGAACAGAAACGTGTTATAATCTAAATGGCCAGCGTTGCTCGCCGCTTCCTGGCTGCATTTGATCCGGGGGAGAGTTAGAAGCCTTAAATGTGTTCTGAGGGCACCGAGCTGTCAGACCTTTTGGCGAGTAAGATTGATCGCGCGCAGGCTTCCAGGATTCTTTGTTTGCTATATAAGCAATAAACTGAGTGAGGCCTACCACTTCTTTTCCTCCTCTCTCCCACTCACTCTTCCAGTTTTATTTTCTCTGAAGAATACAACTTATCTACTTACTGGCTGTTTTGACGAAAAACATCCATAGTGGGGCTTTTACAGATTGTACATAACCAAACTCTGTGGGAGCTGCTCAGTCGATACAGATTTCCTTCTACAGAATCTCCCTGCAATGTATTCGTTAAAATGACCTATTCCAATGGCAGGGGTTTATTTTACACTGTGCAATAGCACCAAGTAGAAATGTGTGAGAAATAAGGTTTAAATGTAAAGAGGATCCTTTCCTCCATTCTTGCCCTTGTCCACCCACCACCCATCTCACCCAGGCTAAGACGCCCGCTGTGACCCCGCTTATCCGTGGAAACCCCAAGGGAAGCAGCTTGAAGGCCAGTCTGGAATTTTTCTCCCTAAACGTAGTACATTGTTAGCATATAGGTCAACCTTGCTTTAGTGTAACTGGGAGTGCTGTGCAGAGTGGTATAATTGCAGAGACAGAGAAAGAGTATAATGACTTCCAGAAAATTGCAGACTCAAATTAAACAGAACATGATTGGTATGCATGCACACTAAATTTGATATTTTAAAGCCTTCTTTTTTTTGCATTAGGTGCATATCATTTTAGCAACATCGATTGTGTGTGTGTGTGTGTGTGTGTGTTTGTCTGAGGGTTGTCTGAGGTTTGTGTGTGTGTGTGTGTGTGTGTGTGTGTGTGCTTACATGTTCCATGTGCATTTGGGATTTGGGCGTTAAACACAATATTGAACTACTTAATGTGTAATAAATGTATTGCATACAAGTGGATGACACTAAAACGGTGTAGTAGGCATGATTAACCCATGCCTCCATAATAGGTATGATGTTCTGTTCCCAGTTGCATATATCAATGAGTAGCCTTACCGATAGCCCATCTATGCTTGTATTGAAAAGAAAGTCTATGAACACAGTCTATATTGTAAACTCTACCGTTTTGGAACACACTGGATTGTTGGTGTTTGTTTCTGTCAGGAGCTCTCAATATCAGTTTTTGGGGTGTTTTGTCCCAGAGAGAACTCTACATGAATGGCTAACTTTGGTAATGACTGCATGCATAGTGTGTACCTACTGGCGTAATTTGGGTGGCGCGGGGGCGTTCTCTCTTGACACACTCAAACAATATGAGAAAAGAGGAGTGCATGAGCCCGGGCACTACAGTTACTTCACTGTCACAGCGCTCAGGCAGCCATTCTAAAAACACATGTATAGCTTAGTGGAGTTGACTAGGAGGCTAGGGGACGATCAACTGGGGCGGGCGGAAAAAAGGTGTAAATAAAAACAGCCGTCCCAATAGAGACAAGGCGTTCTTCACCAGAGTTTTTGGATCAATCACGCAGACAGTGGCTTCTTTTGATTAAACCCCAAATTGTCATTGGGCAGAAGTAATCATGTGACTTGGTTCCGATTTCAACCTTGTCTCCATGAATTCAATAGTTTAATAGCTGTTCGGTCACCACATGGCCGTAATCAGTGAATTCGAAAAAATGCCACCACCTCCTTCTCATTGAGCCGCGACATTTATAAAAATACGTGCCGCAAACTTTCCTCGGCTCTCAGCGAGCGGAGATGAATTACGAATTCGAGCGAGAGAGCGGTTTTATCAATAGTCAGCCTTCGCTTGCTGAGTGCCTGACATCTTTCCCCCCTGTCGGTGATTCATTTCAAAGTTCATCAATCAAGAGCTCGACGCTTTCACACTCGACACTGATTCCTCCTCCTTTTGAGCAGACCATTCCCAGCCTCAACCCAGGCACCCACCCGAGGCACAGCCGGCCCAGACACAGCCCCGATGGATGCATCCCGCTGCCCACCGCCTCCCTACCCCCGGAATACCCCTGGATGCGGGAGAAGAAAGCCTCCAAGAAGAATCACCTGCCGACTTCCACCGCGACTGCCATAACGAGTGGACCTGTATGCTTCTCCCCGAAAGGTGGGTGGTTTTTATGGGGTAATTTAGAGGGAAGACATTTTTATGCAGAATGCACTTTCTAAGCACTTGAAGGAGTGGCAATAGGCTAGTCCTTACCAAGTTGCAGAGCCTAATCGAAATTAATCTGCTGTGCACAATTGCGCATTGGGTTATCCATATTGTTACTCTACTCGGAAAAGTTTTGGCAAAGTTAAGTAATGTACAATTATTTATTTGATTTCCACGGTGCCCTTCCTCGCAAAGCAGTGCCAAAGTTTGATGTGTGACACTAATGAAGAGTGATAGAGTAGTGTTGCCGTGCATTCATTAGTATAGTAGCCCAGTCTGGACCACACTACTGCTTTCTCTCTCTTTCTCTGCTGTATTTTTGGGGAAATTATGTACATATGTTGCGCTATAGGACTTAGTCCAATAGTGTGCATTAATTAATCAATAGCCATATTACAAGTAGGCTATTTTTTGGGGAGAATGTCTAGGGTGCTACTATGAGCAGCCATTTTGCTGCAGTATAGCCACTGTGTTAAATGGGTTACTCTCTGGTGGTTTGTGCTTATACAGGAGTAATATTGCATTATCAAGTGGTTCATATTGTAATGCTTCTTTATCTTGTGATTGATGTGCTTATGTGCTGCTGTTTCAGGCTCGCCTGAGATTCTAGAAAGTGGAGGAGGAGGAGAGGGCTCCCGGCGGTTGAGGACTGCGTACACCAACACACAGCTCCTGGAGCTGGAGAAGGAGTTTCACTTCAACAAGTATCTGTGCCGACCGAGGAGGGTGGAGATAGCCGCCCTGCTGGACCTCACCGAGCGGCAGGTCAAAGTATGGTTCCAGAACCGGCGGATGAAGCACAAGAGGCAGACCCAGTGCAAGGAGAACCACAATGGCGAGGGGAAAGAGCCGAGTGCCGAGGACAGGACCCAGAGCGACGAGGAGGATGAGGGCTCGCTTTTTGAGCAGAGCCTCAATACAGTGACCGGGGCCCTTATGGAGAGAGGGGCCTGCTCCTTTCAGCAGAACTCACTGAGTACTTCCCAGCAGCTCCAGAATGTTGGCCCGCACAATGGCGAGGCCCAGAGTTATACAGTTTTACCACTGAGCAGCAATGACAAAAATCTGAAGCATTTCCCCAACCCGTCACCCACTGTTCCAGGCTGCGTGTCAACAATAGGGCCCGGCTCTGCATCTGGCCAGGACAATGGCGGTAGTCCCGCAGCCATGGACGTCTCAATACACGACTTCCAAGTATTCTCCTCGGATTCTTGCCTTCACCTCTCCGATGCCGCCTCGCCTAGTTTGTCAGAATCCCTGGACAGCCCCGTGGACAATCTGGACATATCTACGGACAGCTTCTACTTTTTCTCGGAGTCATTAACTACAATCGATTTACAGCATCTGAGCTATTAAAATCAATCAAAAATAGAACAAGACTTTCAAACCGGAACATTTAAAGAAAGAAAAAAACTCCGGTATTAACTATTAAGTTAATTTTGGTGGTTGTTTGATATGATCGGCACATTTCCTTTTTATTGATTAATTGATTAATTGATTAGGCCTAGTCGATTAATTCAAGGTAAGAGTCTGGACAAATATACCATTGTGGCCTGCAATTACAATAACAAATTGATTTCTTAAGATGCAATATTATGGGTATGTGCACAATAGTATGAATTCTGGTCATTTTATTTTTGTATAGCTTACAGTACCATGGATATTTTTGTTAGAATAAATCTGACTTGCCATAAGGAACTTGCAAGATTGTGTTTTGTTATTATTATCCAAACCTTTTTATGAAGTATAAAGAGTATTTTTATCAACCCCAAAAAATAGAAATGAGGAATTACCAATCGATACAATGTTTATTAGCTCAACCTGAATACAAATGTACTCTAATTAATTTGCAAGTCAAAATAGTGTGATGAAAGCAGGCCAATATAGCCGTATCTCTGAGTATGAATCCTATATTTATTCTAATAAACGCATGGTTTATATTATATTGTAGGCTAAGCATAAATGTTGAGTGGGATAAAAAAAAACGAGCCTTCATCGTGGAGGCCTTGAGCCCTTGAGATTGTATTCTGTTTATGTTAGTTACAAATTAGCACCTTTTTAATTATCTTTCAGTGATATAAATAGCTGTGAAATTTCAGAATGGAGTTAAAATTAATATTAACAATTTGCTTAATAAAAATATCAGCTTACAATTTTGAATCAGAAACTCTTTAGAAAACGTGTCTAGTCCAATTCCAAGCAGACCAGAGGTGAGTATACAGGAAATTCCATAGGCTACTACAATACATCGAATACGTTTCCTCTTTTACTTTCTCTGGTTGTAAAGTTAGTAAAATTGTGAACATGCTATGCTAGCAATAGCATGGCTCCCTATTGCGAGCTCCCTTTGCTGTGTGCATGTGGAGGCAAATGCTCGAGCCATGTTTTCCTTCACGAGCTCATAAATCAAACCCCGTCATGAATGAGAACGTTATCAAAGAGACCAATTGTGATGTATAATGCACAAATAAAAACCCTCTTTACTTTTTCAAATGGGATTCGCGAATCGAGGCTAAAAACGCTGAAGCTTTGTAGGCCTTTGGTAATAATTAATTTTTATAGCTGTTCAAACACAGCGCGCGGGCTCTCCAAGCGTACAGCAGCATGCAGCAGTCTCATCCCCCTCGTGCTATAAGTAGCCTAATTCAAAACAGGCTGTTGCAGGCCTATACATTAGTATTCATTTTAAACGTTTTATATTTTCTACAAATAGCTCTAAAGCTTTTAATGATTGGGGAGCAGTGTATGCCAATAAATATATTTGATTAAACTGAGATTTTCATAACAATAATCTATTAGGGCAAAATGGCTTTGGCTATAAACGTTTTATGTCCATATGCAGAAATATATTTTTCCACAGCCTTGGAGAAATGCATTTTTTACTCATTTCACCTTGGAGTTGTATGAGATTTGGGCAGAAATATTACAATCCTGTTATATAGTTGTCAATATTTCACGCAACATGCTAATGCTTGTGGGCATACTAACCACCAGTTGCTACATAGCATGGATCAATCGTAAAACGTATCATTGCAAAGCAAAGTGCATAACCATATTACATTCAACTGTAGCGTATCGGTGGAGTGACGTTTAGCCAATATTGAATTTCTTAAAAACGGGCAGTGGAGGACTGGACGCGTAGGCTATAGGCTATGCACATATGCCATGCACATATGTCAAGAGCAAAGCTACTTTACTAGGCCATACAACTCTGATCCAACTTGGGCTTTCGTTTCCAAAGGCTGGTAACCAAATAATTCCGAAACAATGCGCCTTTTCTCTCAACCCATTCCACGTTCGCACAAAACGCATTTTTGAGCGTTCATGGCCTGGCGAAGAGTGCTGCGCCCACGCGCTATGTGCACGGTTGAAGAGAGCGAAAGAAAGAGAGAGCGAGAGAGGAAGGAAGAAAAGGTACGAGTAGGCCTAAAGCATAGCGTAGGTATGGTTAGGATACTTTAGTCCTGTCTCATGGTTTGCAACATCGGAGTCTTGCCGTGTCCAAGAGGGCAGTGGCATAGCTCAATTTCGCGGGGCCCGCAAGGTCAGAGCAAGGGGGGTGGGGTGGGAGGGGGGGTTGCCATGGGGCAGAGAGAACATGTTGCTGTTTTAGAGCTCATGGATTTTTAAAAGAAGGGACAATCTTAACTTTTTCCCACAAATATTTATCTTAATATTAACAAAATCTGAAATATATATTTTGATAGACCAAAGTATCAGCTATCACACACCATGTAAAGGAACAACCACATTTTATTTCATTTTTATAAAATCCAACTAACGTAAATTTTTCAATTAGTGTCCAACAAGTGTTTAAAGGCCTTGATTGTTTAATTCTAACATTAGATTATTCAAATATATGATACAAATGTCCAAACTTATTTTTGTTTTGTTTTAAAGCACTATTTAAAAAAAAGAGAGAAGCATTTTGGCATGTTTTTCTAGATTTAGAACATTAAAACAACATTTATAAAGCAAACAATATCCCATATATTGCAGAACAGTGATTCAAATATATTTTCAGAATATTGACCAAAAAAATCGATCTAAGCCTTCAGTGACGGAGTTGACAAGCCACTGACGGAATTGACAACAGATCTTCAAAGCAGACATATTGTATTCTCTAAAAATAAAAGTTCATACAAACGTTTGTAAAATATGGAAAATTATTCATTTGAAAATCCCTAAGAAAAACATAACCATTCTATCAGATCTGTAAGTACTCTGACGGATTTGATGTTAGACAAAAATCTGTTATGTTTTACAGAGTTGACAAAAATTGCATTTTTGAATCTTCATTCAAGTAGTGTACACAGTAGCAATTTTGTTTTTCCTCAGTTGCTTTATGACTCTAAAACCTAATTAAATGTAACATATTTGAATCAAAATTAATATTCTATCTAATCTATCAGGAAGACATATCAGGAAGATGGAGTTGACAGTTTATGGTTGTGACCATGGTTATTCCAATATTGTTTGTTTTAATCTATCAAAAGTAGAGAACTTTACAGACCATGAGTGGTCATGTTGCACTACATGTAATAAGGACATGAATAAGGGGTCCTTATGGTGTAGCTGACCCTGCTCATTCCTGATTCATTTAGTATTTTAGATACATCTGACAGATGTCCCCTGTAGCTCAGTTGGTAGAGCATGGCGCTTGCAACGCCAGGGTTGTGGGTTCGTTTCCCACGGCGGGCCAGTATGAAAATGTATACAGTCGCTCTGGATATGAGCGTCTGCTAAATGACAAAAATGTAAACATTTTGACCAAATCTCCGGACACATCTTTCAGGAATTACAGTTTTGAGATAAATATTCTTTAAAGTCACAGAGGGCTACTTCAAGAAACTACATGACATCATTTTTCAGTTAATATCCATTATTACCAGTTTTTAGAATTGTAAACACTTTTTTGGAGAGTTTGAAATTGGGATCCTTTGCTCCGGACAAGGGCATTTCCAGGCACAGAGCCGACAGTATTTAGAAAATTCCAAAAACAAATACTTTCCCCTATAAATTTCCCCTAAATGTAAATTTTACAACAAGTTCTCACAGTCTCACATCAGAATTAAACAGTAATCCATGATCCCCCCACCCCTTTTTTTTGCAGGGGCGTGCTACACAAGTGCAAGGGGGCCCGATCTGTATTCATAACTGTAAATGGGTATTGCTCTTGAAGCTACGCTACTAGTGTAGGGGGGAAAAAAAGCCTGTGAGAATTCCTACAGAGGCTGTTATAAGAATGACCACCACTAGGCCATACAATCCTCTTATCATCCAGTAGGAGCGCAAACCACTCTTCGTCTCTTGACCCTCGGCCCCTACTCTCTCTCTCTCTCTCTCTCTCTCTCTCTCTCTCTCACTCACAGTTTTTTCAGTCACTTTGGTACTATTTTCACAAGTATGCGGTGAATTTTCAAAACTCTTAGTACAAAAATTCAAACTGGTAACACTTTTAATACAGCAAGTCTTATATTCAAAACATTTTATTGTGCTTTAATTTTGTTTGGAGACATCTTTCACCACACAACCATTGACCCAACATATACGTTTACTGTGAAATACCATGAGAACATTGATTTAATCACCAAAACACAACATAATGATATCTTCTCAATTTAGTTGTTTTAACAACAAGTTAATCCAATACAAAAAAATGCTAAATACATGTTTCAAAATTGCCCTTTGAATGTAAAATGCTACATTACTGTAAATTACAGTACATGTACACCGTTTTCACATTAGGAAATAGACTTGCACTACCCATAAAAAAATTGACCCATCAAAAATTGAAAATCAAATTTCCATCATGTCTATCCCAGGGATGTAGCTCAATTGGTAGAGCATGGTGTTTGCAACGCCAGGGTTGTGGGTTCGATTCCTACGGGGGGCCAGTATGAAAAATATAACAAATAGTGTATGCACTCACTAACTGTAAGTCGCTCTGGATACGAGCGTCTGCTAAATGACTAAAATGTAAATAAAGGTGTGATAATTAAAGACATATTTTACAATCACTGATGCAAAAAATATATTGTTCAGACATAATTACAACATTATCAAATGAAACAAATGAAATTAATGAAATAAACATAACGTTTAGCAGGGACCAGTTTGCATCAAGCCTGTCTTAAGCATTTGGCCATAGGTTCTCATCAACATCGCAGTAAATGTTCTCATTGTTCATGCACTTGGGGAAAAACCTTTTGGCATGGCAGATCCAAGCCTCACATAGGTCTGGAATGATGTCATTGTATGCCTCAACCATGGCCTGGAGGAGGGTGGCACACTCATGGGGATGGCAATCATATTCCTTCCACCTGTATTGTAATCATGTATTGTATTTTACAGTATTGTATTGTAGTTATGTATTGTAGTGGTCCTGTGTTGCTCAGTTAGTAAGAGCATGGCCCTAGCAACACCAGAGTTGTGGGTTCGATTCTGTGAAGTAAAATCATAATAGTAATCATCATAGTAGTTCATTCAAGTATATATATATCATGCTTTTTATGTTTCTACTTTACAGACATACATTTTCATTATGTAGTTCTCAAAATCTGTAGACAAACCAGTTTACATGTAAAATCTATAGCTAGGTTTAACAAACGTTGAAATGATCATCTATTAAGAGCAGTCAGATTAAATAATAGTAAAATGTACTTTAACAAAAGAGAAGAGAATCATATCAAAAGTAATGTGAGCATTGCATTGTGAAAGGCTTTATATGAACATGTATTGCAATGTGAAACATGTATTTCTAGATTAAACTGATTAAGTTTGGTGATAAAGTGACTGTGTGGTTTTGTTTGTTCTACTTAGTCAATGAAAAATGTGCTTAGAGTTTTGAAACAACTGCCTTTTAGTCTGTTTTGAGCTTTGTACTGAGAGTTGTGAAAATGTAGCCTACCACATACTTGTGAAAATTGCACCAAAGCGATTGAAAAAAAAATCTGTAATGTGTTTGTGTGATATGTGCCTTTCTGTATAGAAAATAATTAAAGAGAGCATAACAGATCAGAGAGAGACAGAGAGAGAGAGAGAGAGAGAGAGAGAAAGAGAGAGAGAGAGAGAGAGAGAGAGAGAGAGAGAGAGAGAGAAAGAGAGAGAGAGAGAGAGAGAGAGAGAGAGAGAGAGAGAGAGAGAGAGAGAGGCATTGTTGCAGGTGTGTGGAGGAGTGTGATCGTGCCTGAGAGAGAGCATATAGCACCAGGAATGGGATCACCAGTCCCCCTATAGCTTCCCCTTTTCTCTGCAACATAAAATGTAATCACCATTCATTTCTCAAACAGCCTCATAACGGGATGTTCAAGCAGCAGTTTCTCCTCAGGCTGTAAGAGCCTTACAACATCGACATCCCGTTATTAAATCAACTGATCATTCTACATAATGAAAAGGAGTAGCCGTAAAATGAGAGTAACACACTGCATGCTGGCTTTTGGCGCAACGTTATTATTATTGTGTCACTGATTCTTTTTGATGGGTAAACACTTGTGGTCTTCGAATCTCGTCATGTGGCTCAGCTAGCCTGCCTCAATGAAATCAAAACCCTACAATGCCTCTGTCCCAGCAGATAACACTAAAAACGACTTAGATTTACAGTCCCCAATCTAGTGAAATAACATAATGCACATTGAATCATATGGTTGTGGTAAAGTGCAGTTTAGAGTGACGGGTGCACCGGACTCACGTCTCCATGCCAACCAGCTGACGCTGTTGACTGACAACCTCACACGCACGAACGCGCAAACACATACGCAATAGTGTTGTAGTAAATTGATAGTTATCCCGATCAAGTACATTTAAGGATTCTTGAAAGGTTTTACAAAAGCTGTGCTCGAATTTATTTCCTTTATAATGTCGACAAAATGACTGATATTACAGGGCAAGCACTCTATTGATCCTGACATATGGTTAGCAGTGGAACCTAGAACAATTGAACCATGGTCTGTCAGCATAGACTGAGCAACTCTGGATCAAAAACACACACACACACACACTCTCTCTCTCTCTCTCTCTCTCTCTCTCTCTCTCTCTCTCTCTCTCTCTCTCTCTCTCTCTCTCTCTCTCTCTCTCTCTCTCTCTCTCTCTCTCTCTCTCTCTATCTATCTCTCTCTCTCTCTGATCTGTTATGCTCTCTTTAATTATTTTAGTTTTTTGTGTGGAGGGGCGTCGTTTATAACCCTTCGTCTGACAGTCATCCGAGCAGGGCCGGTTAGCAGAAGCCTTGTTTGCTGTTCCCCGCTCTACATGCGACCTGAGCGCCATCCACCGTCGTCTGCGTCCCGGCTCATTGTTTGCTCCGCCAATAAATTAGTGGTTAAGCACGTCACCTTGATCGACGAGTGCTTGGAATTTAAAGACCCACTCAAACACCAATCTGTCATGCTAAGGGCCACACGTGACTGCCGACCGTTTCATTGATAACCGTAAAGGTGGTATGGTCACCCAAGGTGAGACAGATAGAGAGTCATCAGAAGACCGGGCCTGTTGTAGACTGTCTCTCAGTCCTGCTGAGAGGATGCTACAATGAGCAGCTTCTTAGATTACTCGGTGATGAGCGGCGATGGCGGGTCCTCCTCATTGAGATCATTCCACTCGGACCACGGAATTACAACTTTCCAGTCGTGCGCGGTCAATGTGAACAACTGTGGGGCAGAAAAGCGCTTCATGCCCAGTAGGGCTTCCCCGGATGGCATCCCTCACCAGACATGGTCCTACCAGACTCCTACTGGCTCTCTGGGTTTAGCCTACGGTGCCCATCCGGCCTGCATCTCGGGCTATGAACGCCAGGGCTTCTGTACCACCTACAACCATTACGCACTGAATCAGGAAGTGGAGTCGGCCGCGGGGTTCCCCCAGTGCGCCCGGTTAATGTACTCCGGGAACATTTCCTCACCCATGGTACCGCAGCATTGCAAAGGTTACGGGGGCGCGCCCCTGGGTCAGCTCAAGTACACTCATGCTACCTTTGGTGGCGGGCATGAGCAGGCCAACCTGCCTCCTTTCACTGGGTGCTCGAACCCACTGTCACCCCTGTACGCGGCCCACCTTGAAACGTGCTGCTCGCCCCTGTCCGACAGCGCCTCCAACTCACAGACCTTCGACTGGATGAAAGTGAAGAGGATCCCGCCATTGACATGTGAGTGTCATGCATAAGGGGACAGGAAAATGCAGGTGTATGTCACACCTCTCAGTGTTGGGTATGGATAGGAATGTAGCCATAATGTCATAACTCCAAGAATAAAGTCATATACTGAACAAAAAAAGAAATGCAACATGCAACAATTTCAATGATTTTACTGAGTTACAGTTCATAAAAGGAAATCATTCAATTTAAATAAATTCATTAGGCCCTAATCTATGGATTTCACATGAATGGTCAGGGGCGCAGCCATTGGTGGGCCACCCACTTGGGAGCCAGGCCCACCCACTGGGGAGCCAGGCCCAGCCAATCAGAATGTTTGTCTCACAAAAGGGCTTTATAACAGACAGAAATACTCCTCATATCCAGGGGGCTCTGAGGTACCGGAACACATTGAGAAGAAAAATGTGAAAAACACAGAAATATCACCATCTTTCTCTGGATTTTTGGACTTGAAAAATGTCTAACTCGATTGCCTTTTCTTATCCATTTTTTATTTGGCTTTCCCACAATTCAAATTCAGTAGGGAGATGACTAGACTAGGCTACATGACGTGATTACGTAGGGACCTCTTCACTAGCTGACCCCCACAACCAAGACCTGTGTCAAGACCAGTTACTTACCCCCACTGGCCCTCCCCATAACCTCTATGTACAAATAAGAGAGCAGCTCTGGAATCAGTGTGGCAGGATAGGATGATTACATAGAAGGATCACCGCGCTTTTACATTATGGTCTTTCTGGGGGGCGGGAGAAATAACGAGGAGGCAACTTTATTTAATGCTGATCGCTTTTATTAGAATGTCTGCATTGGACCACCCATACACAAAAAAATGTATGCACGCATGACTGTAAGTTGCTTTGGATAAAAGCGTCTGCTAAATGGCATATTATTATTATTATTATTATTGTGAACAGTGAAATAATTAATAAATCATGCCGCGAGAGGTACCGGATCTGGGCAAATAGGTGCCGGAACAAACAAAGTCAAATCTGAGAGGTGCTGGATCCTGTTCCGGCAGGATCCGGCTCAAATTCAGCACTGCTCACAACAGGAGAAAGTAACCCGAGTGCAGAGTGGAAGATGAGAGTTTGGTCATTCCAGTTTCAAATAGATATGACAGCACTATGATGCCCTCTGGCACAACATCACAATGCCATGGCAGCCATTCTGACGCCACAAATATCCTATCCAAATGTGCATGGTGAGTGACATTATCGAATGCTGCTTAGATACAGTAACATGGCATTCAGCTCTGGGTTATTCAGCTCTGAAGCTTGCCAAACTCTCCTTTGTGACTTGTGTTTTGAACATAACTCTTAAAGCGTTGGGCCATATACAATTACCAGTCATAAGCCTGGTAAGCTTTTGGTATGGTGTCTGGTTTCTCTCTGGTGTGATATGTGGCATGGGGGTGTTGGAGAAAGTGGTAATCCAAGAGATGGCATCTAATACCCAGCCAGGACGTGTGTAATTGGCTGTGAAAAAGTGATGAACTGTCCTACTGGGCACACACTGGTTGAATCAACGTTGTTTCCACATCCTTGCAATTAAATTATGTTGAACCAATGTGGAATAGACATTGAATTGATGTCTGTGCCCAGTGGGGTTTGCCTTTGTGTAAAATATTGAGTACAAAGTATATAAACATTCCAATTATGTCATAATAAGTGAATTGACTCTTCGCTAAGCCCCGCCCTAGAATTTGGGGCAACCAATCGCAGCACTCAAATGGATAGCAACTGTCATTGAGTCTGACACCTTGAACAAGTTCACCTTTCAAACCCTTGGAAGACAAGGAGGGTTATGGCAAAAACAGAGTTTTCATCAAAACATTCATTGTTTAAATGGCTAAATAATTGAACAGTGCACCAGGGGTACATGCAACTATGACACCTGAAATACAGAGCCTGTTAAAGTGTTTCTTGAAACTGAAATTATACTGTTGTTGCATTGTCAACAAGTTTGACCAATTTGACTTCAGATTCTGACGTTTATCTACATTTCTCCAAACATCACATTTCTAAGTTGCTTTGACACCCTGGTTTGCTATGGTCCAAGCACCTAGGGGCTGGTTAAATTTAGGCATTCCTTCTGAATGATTAAGTTAAGGGTTAAGGTTTGGGATAGGGTTAAAACAAAGGCTTACGCCCATCCGCCACCGGAGCCGGAGCTCAAGGCTTACGCCCATCCGCCATTCCTGTCCACAACGCCCTAGCAAAGCCCAAGCCTACTTCATGGTAATAGCGCTCACATTTGCCCCTAGTGGCGGGTTTTGAAGGCATCTCCCAACATCCTCGGGACATAGATGGACGTCCAATTTCTAGGTGAATTTTGTTGCTAGTTAATAGCAAATCTATTTTATTTTATTTTTCAGTTGAAATGTATTTATAAAGCCCTTTTTACATCAGCAGATGTAACGTGCTTATACAGAAACCCAGCCTAAAACCCCAAACAGCAAACAATGCAGATGTAGAAGCACGGTGGTTAGGAAAAACTCCCTAGAAAGTCAGAGGAACCAGGCTCTGAGGGGTGGTCAGTCCTCTTCTGGCTGTGCCAGGTGGAGATTATAAGAGTACATGGCCATTAAGGCCAGCTCGTTAAGGCCAGTTAATATAACTCATTTTTTGTTGTCGACATCAGGATATGATTTGAGAGCACCAAAAGTGGTTAGTAGCTTTGACTGCATGCTGACACAGTGTATTCAGAGCCACCCAGTGGCTAGCCACATAAAAAAACTCATTTTACCAGGTTCCTGTGAAGCAATTGTTATGACAGTCCACCACAACATACCTGAGAGGCTCCCGATTATCAGGGAGTAGACCTAGTCTGTGTTTAATTTAATTGTGTATTAAAACAGTTTGAGTTTGAGATCATTGTGAGGGGTTTTCTCCACTAGTTTAATGGGGAATTTCCCGGGAATTTCCGAAGTTGCAACAGTAACCAAGGGCGGGGCTTAGCGATGGGTCAATTTTGCATGAAAGGGGAGTAAAAATGAACACTTCACAAAAGTCTTGTGGCAATGTTTACAGTGTTGTGCATCTGAACATAGATATTTGAACTAGCTTTAGTTGTGTTAACCTCTGGGGATCAAAAAGTGGATTTAAACCATGACACTACCTACCCAAACATACTGTATGTGCATGGCGCACTATGGCCAAGGATTATGGCTTGTGAGAAATGTGTCACTTCTCCAACTTCCTTAGCTTTTATTTAGTCCTGACCTCCAGGTAGCCCTCATGTTCTCCCTTCATCCCTCTACAGGCAGATGAGGGGAGTATGGCTATGGGGGGCAGCCTACCACCGTCCGGACCAACTTCACCAACAAACAACTCACCGAGCTTGAGAAGGAGTTCCACTTCAACAAGTCCCTGACCCGTGCACAGTGCGTGGAGATCGCCACAGCGTTCCAGCTAAACGAGACTCAGGTCAAACTGTGGTTCCAGAATCGCCGGATGAAACAGAAGAAGCGCAAGAAGGAAGGCCTGCTGCCCAACAAAGCCCCTGCGTCAGACCCAGGGGATAGCTGCCTGGTGAAAGCAGATGATGCCGAGTCTGAGAAGTCCCTCTCTGCCCCTTCTACCCCATCTCCCACCTTTTCAACAGTGTCCTCTGGGGTTGACCCATACTCCTCCAGCTGAAGAACCCCTGCCTTGTGGCACCAATGGTCTACATATACCAAATATGATATACACGTCCTAACCCGGATAGGTTAAATTAATTCTAACAGAGTGAATATAAAAACGTATGCACTACTTGGGAGATACTGAGACAGTGAGATTGGACTATTGTCCAGGCTACGTGGTTAATCTATGGCAGGGGTAGGCAACCCTGTTCCTGGAGTGCCGCAGGTACTGCAGAATTTAGTCCCAACTAGGCACCACTCTGAGCTACTTAGCTAATTGATCAGTTCAGTGATTGCCTAAATTCAACACACCTGGTCTTCCAGGTCGGTTAAATCAAAAACATGAAGTGCCTGCAGCACTCCAGGACCAGGGTTGCCTACCGCTGATCTATGGTGTTGAAATTTCAGCCCATTCTCTTATGGAGCACACCAGGAGGTGCCGATTCTGCAGGTACCAGATTACGTTTGGACCGGGCGAAATGTGGAAGCTATACCGTCCACTTGGGGCTACGTGAGCAACTATTACCTTCTAGTAGGCTTGCAGCTTGACAAACAACTTATATATGTCCTCTACCATTAGAAACTGTCATTTCATTTCTAGGGTAAATGAGTTCAAATTAAATAGACCGAGAACAGAACTACCGGAATGTTCCTTTTGTACCTGCCGATGGGGCGGTAGTAACACAGCCTTGGGACTGAAGTATAACAGCTGGCGAGAAGTGCACAATATCTGTCTTATCGCCATGTTTCTGGTTTGTAATGCTCTTTACTTTTAACAAATGTACTATCAGACATCATTTAAATGTTTGTGTCGATTTGAATAATTACAGTTTTTCCCAATTGTTTACACACTAAAACTGACCCATGAGGCACAATGACCCAAACCTGTAACCTATTTAGCAGAACCAGACACCAAATCTGCAGTACTACTGGCACATGTTTTGCTTTACACTCAGATTGCAATTCTATAACAAACATTTGGCAAAACACAACACACAATTCTCTACCTTTGGCACAACCTTCACTACTAAAATCTCTTGTGTGCAAATGAAAAGCAACACTGTTCAACAAGCTAAACTCAATTACCAATTGATCACTTTCACTCTTCACATGTGCGAACACTAATTGTGTAAATTTTCACTTTGCAATCAGACCATTGGTATGGATAAAAAGGCCACAGGTGAGTACTCCTGTGTTTGGAGAACAATGGAAGAAAACTTAGCAGGGAGAGGTGGAGGTGGAGGTGGGGGGAGAGGTGGGAGTAGAGGTGGAGGTGGGGGAAGACCAAGAACAGGGAGAGTAATCTCTGATGAAATTTGGGCGACTGTGGTGGACCATGTGGTCAACCATGGTTTGACCTTGAGAGAGGCTGGGCAGAGAGTGCAGCCCAATCTGTGCCGCCTCATTTTAGCATCCATTATCCGGACGTTCCAAAATGAGAATAGGTATGTACTGCAGACATCGGACCTATCTACTACTTGACAGTAGTACAACATAAAGCACAGTAAAGACTGTAGATTCCATGTATTACTGTATGAAATTGGGAGCTATACTATTGTAACATGTTTATCATGTATACTGTATTACTGTAGTGTTTACTGTACTGCATGCTATTTTGTTTTTGTAGAACTGAAAGACGACCACCTACTGAATCACTGAATTTGGAGATGAGGTATTTACCATTGTTATGTAACGACCTGGATGAAACAAATACCTGTGTACCAAATTGATTCATCGAAAAATGCATCACTGACACAGACAGTTGGTTGCACTTGAAGTTGTGTTTTACGTCGCAATCAGCGAGGAGAACTCATATGGAATCACTGCTGGTATATTCTTAGAATACCTACTGAATCATGTTCTAACCTGTGTTTCTGGCCTGTGTTTCTGGCCTGTGTTTCTGGCCTGTGTTTCTGGCCTGTGTTTCTGGCCTGTGTTTCTAACCTGTGTTTCTGGCCTGTGTTTCTGGCCTGTGTTTCTAACCTGTGTTTCTGGCCTGTGTTTCTGGCCTGTGTTTCTGGCCTGTGTTTCTGGCCTGTGTTTCTAACCTGTGTTTCTAACCTGTTTTTCTGGCATGTGTTTCTGGCCTGTGTTTCTGGCCTGTGTTTCTGGCCTGTGTTTGTAGCCTACTATCCTAGTGTTGTGAGTGTCAAAATGGAATCACTGCTGGTATATTCTTAGAATACCTACTGAATCATGTTCTAACCTGTGTTTCTGGCCTGTGTTTCTGGCCTGTGTTTCTGGCCTGTGTTTCTGGCCTGTGTTTTCTAACATGTGTTTCTGTCCTGTGTTTCTGGCCTGTGTTTCTAACCTGTGTTTCTGGCCTGTGTTTCTGGCCTGTGTTTCTAACCTGTGTTTCTAACCTGTGTTTCTGGCCTGTGTTTCTGGCCTGTGTTTCTGGCCTGTGTTTCTGGCCTGTGTTTGTAGCCTACTATCCTAGTGTTGTGAGTGTCAATCTGAATGTATTGTGTTAGGTTTGCATGATGTGCCACGCTTTCATGTAGGCCATACTAAAATTGTTCTATTTTTCAGCTTTAATATTGCAGATAGATTGTAACTTCCATCAATGTAATTGTCTGCATCACTTCCAATCCCCCATATGTTTTTTCTCTCGCAAATATATATATATATATATATATATATATATATACATACACATACATATACACACACATACATATAAATACATATACATATATACATATCTTTAAAAATATTTATATATTTCCCTTTTTTACTTTCCAATCCCACCACCCCTTCCCTAATTGGAGTAAACTAGTGAACAACAACGCTTAGGCCTCTACTTCCAGCTTATACATACTATATACATTTCATGTAGGCTATACTTGATTAGACGCTGAGTTTTATCAGTTAGGAGGTTGATTATGACATGTATTATATGCTTGTGTCTGTTACTATTTATTAGAGCAGAACACAGTACGTCGTTTACGGGTCAGAATATGTGTATTAAAGTGCTTTTGCCTCTATGACATATGTTTATTGTGGCGCAAACGATGCAGGCCGTTTGTCTCGCCATCTATAACCAAGTGTTCAAATTTGGATCTCTCATCAATACAATAATAATAATAATAATATTATTATTATTATTATTTATATAGTTTTTCATTACAAAGATAATCTTAAAGATGCTGTAAAAACAAACAAAACAAATGTAGAGATCTGGGAGGTCTTGGGCGATGGTCTTCCACAGATTCAAATGATAACATGTTGTTCACGTAGGCAGTTCAGAAAGGCTGGGCAGTAGCTTAAGTGGAGGGAGCTTCGATGGCACAGAGAAGGAGCAGCACCAGTTACTTAGACAGGCCCAGACTCAGAGCTCTTCATCAGGCACCTCGTTCGTTGTCTCCTCCTCCTCCTCCTCCTCCTCCTCTGTAGGTAGGCTGGATAGTCCACTACTGAAGTGTAGCACTCATCTGGGTGATGCTTGGCAGCTATAAGCGCAAGAAAGACCACCACACCTCGGCAGTAGTCAGGAAATAGTCCCCTACGAGGTGGGCCTCTCTCAACCCCTCACACCGCAGTCCACATCTTTCATGAAACCAGGGTCAGCCTGGTCTCATAGACTAGACGTAGCATAGTAAATGTAATTCTGATTAGAAAGATATGTTAAGTTTGGTATGGTTACATAAGACAGATGGTTCCTTAAGGCAAAAATGAAAGTACAGTAGTTGGTCAGGGTGGCTGGGTGGGCATACAACATGAATGTCTAGCAACCCAAAGGTTGCGAGTTTGAATCTCATCATGGACAACTTCAGCATTTTAGATAATTAGCAACTTTTCAACTACTTACTACTTTTTAGCTACTTAGCATGTTAGCTAACCCTTCCCCTAACTCTAACATTAACACTTTTAGCTAACCCTTCCCCTAACCCTAACTGTAACCCTTTTAGCTAACCTGCCCCTAACCCTAATCCTAACTTTAACCCTTTAACCTAGCTCCTTAACTTAATCCTAACCCCTAACCCTAACCCTAACCCCTAGCCTAGCTAACTCTAGTCACCTAGCCAGAATTTGTAACATATCATACATTTAGCAAATGTGTAATATAATGTACATTTAGCAAATTCTTAACATATTGTAAATTTTTCAATTTTGTAACATAGAATACGAATTGTAATTTGTAACATATCATACGAAATGGGTGATGGACATCCACAAATTAATACATACCATACGAAATGTAACATATCATACTAAATGAGTCTCGGATTTATGTACAGAATATTACGAAATGCTCTGAGACCAGGTTATCAGGGTAGGTGGAAAAAAGCCAGTGCTAAATTGATGCATCTTTCAAATTATTGCATAGCCAGCTAGCTAGTTAACTACCTAGCTAAGCCTGTGGAAAGTAAGACCTAAGGGCCCATAGAGGCTGTTACAATAGTGCTATTCTTATATACGAGCATTGCAAGTTTATAAACCTACGAGAATGACCTGACCATAAGAATGGGCTACACTACAATACATTCTTAGAAAAAATGGTTGTGGATAGAACCAGAAAGGGTTCTATTGCTTGCTTCATATATGGCACCCCTAAAGGTTCTCCATAGAACTCTTTATTTATATTTTTGATTCTTTGATCAGAACACAAGGGGTGCTTCTTCACTGAAGCAACATTGGAACCATATAAAACCCTTGGATATGGAACCAATTTCGGATCTATATAGAACCTTAAGGTGTGCCATATATGAAGTAAAAATAGAACCCTTTTTGGTTCGATCTATAACCTTTTTTTCAAAGAGTGTAGGTTAACCCACTCGGCACAGACGTCAATTCAACTTCTAATCCACGTTGGTTCAACGTCATTGAATTGAAATGACTTGCAAACAACGTTGATTCATTCAACGTGTGCTCAGTGGGAAGGTTTTTCATGTCCAAAGTCCAACGCCAGTATGTCTCCAGCATAGGGCTTTACGCGTTCCACTAAAACGCTCTCAATGCATGCAGCAGTGATCGCATTACCCCCGTCTCATGGGGTAAGCATTATTGGCATAA